GGTGGGGGGGCTTTCTTCTGGGTGCTGGGACCGGCTGAGCTTCTCTGCCCTAGGAGCCTGGGATGGCAGTGGGGGAGCTTCCTTCCGGGTGCTGGGACCCGCTCAGCTTCTCTGCCCTAGGAGCCTGGGATGCAGGTGGGGAGCTTCCTTCCGGGTGCTGGGACCGGCTGAGCTTCTCTGCCCTAGGAGCCTGGGATGGCAGTGAGGGAGCTCAGTCCATGCACTCTTAACCTCCTTACCATCCCTTCACTCTAGTTGTTGCAATCAGGATCAAAGATTCCCACCAATAATGAGATAATGTGTAATGATGAGATTCCCAGTAATTTGTTGAAAATCCTACTTAACTTCTCCATAGGTTTTGAATTTTCCCTACTGGTGACTCCTTGAAACTGATCTGTTTCCTGGTTTCCTTGGCACTTTCAGTTATTTTATTAAAATATATATATTGCACACGTATTACATACAAATCATTGTATTAGTTGTGGGGGATAAATAAGTGAGCAAAGAAAGATAGGCCCCTATTTTCATAAAGCTCACTGGTTAGCAGGAGCATGGAAAATTAAAAAAAAACCCTATAATTAATTATTTGAATAATTTAAAAATAAATACTAGGAAGGAGAAGTACATATAAGAACAAATAATAGGGGGACTGAATGGAGTCTGAGGCCAACACAGGCTTTCTTTGAGGAAGTAAATAGATGAATGATAACTTGAACTTGCATTTTGGGTATAAACCAAAATTAAAAGGTCCATTGTCCTTAAAATCCAGCCAATCACTATCTCCGTTCTTCCAACTTTCTTAGACCTGCCTTTACATTTCTGTGTATCTTAATTTCCACTTGTTCTATTAGCTTCCTAATATTTCTGCACGCTGTTGGTACCCTTACTTTTGACATGGAAGTCTAACTGCTTCTCTCTTGCTTAGAATTTTTTATTGACTGACTGACAAAAGAATATGAGAAATATTCCAACGAATTTTGCACATGACATCAGAGCCTTTAATGATCTGGTCCCTGTCTAACTTTTTAAACTCCTATCCTGCCATTCCACCCATCTTTAATACTGTGCTCTGGGAGCACAGAACTTCTGAGAGAATAGCACTTACTTCTGGAATGCCCACTGGGGGCTTCATTTACTTCTAGTGACAAGTCAAATGTTGTCTCTTTAGTGTCTTCTTTCATTCTTCTGCACCTTCAGTGCATCCTTTCATCTGATCCTGCCGCTCTTGCTTCAGAACCCTAATGTGAATTGCTCTTAGACCATGACACTCTAAAGCCAAAGCTTACTGTCTTTTATTATCTGCTTCACACCTGGGTCGGTCCATGGCTTTTTTCCATTTGTTTGTAAATAAGCAGACTCTCCGGTCTGTCATCTGTCTGTCTGTCTGTCCGTCTATCGCTCTATCATCCATCAATCTGTCTATCATCTGTCTATTATCCATTCAATATTCTAATTTCAAACCATAGCCTCCTCCAACTACCCTCTGTCCCTTTCTTTTTGTGGATAAAACGATGTCTCCACTCATTATCTTCAATTCCTCATGTTCTGTTCTCACTACAGCCAACTGCAATCAGGAGTCTATCTCTACTGTTTGACTGAAACTCATCCTATGTGGCCATCAAAGCCCTCAGTTCCATTCTGGTTATTTTGTTCATTGGAAACTTTTTAGTTATTATTTTACTTGATCTCCTGACCACCAGGCTTTGTTACAGTACCTGTCGTCTTCAAATCATCTCCTTGGTTAGTTTCCAGTAAAAGTCATAATCTAGTTTACCTCTTAAAACTGTCCACTCCTCTTGCTTCCTTCTGTAGATTTCTCTTCCTTGGTTATTTTGTTAAATAGTGATGTTGTTCTGACTTCAGCTTCCTTGTTTTCTGCCTCTGTGCATATTCATGGGATAATCATACACCTGCCCATGTCTTTAATCTTCACTTCCTGCTCTTCATCTTCTGTTATCTTATGAAACAAGCTAGAAATGTTGAACTATTCATTGACTTTTTACTAATAAAGGGTAGACTTCAGAGTTCTGGTAGCTAACACATATATCATGAGAGAAAAATCACTCCAAAGTCTTTGTTTATTTCCCAGATTTTTCTCCTGAGCTTTAAATTCTGCATCCTGGCCACGATCACTTGGATATTTCTTAGGCACCTCAAAGTAAATGTGTCTGATGCTTAACTCACTCACTACCTTCCCCCAACATAGGCACTTCCTCTCCTGTACTCCTTATTTTTGACCCCTTCTCTTTCATCCCTTCTCTCTCATCAACCATACAATGTTAGGTATCTGAATATTTCAATTTCTCTTCACTCACTTAACATTGTCTTTTTTTTTTTTCCACTCCTGGAGATTATATCCAGGGATTCTGCATTGAGCTACACCCTTGGGTCTTTTTATTTTGAGACAAATCTTGTTAAGTCACTAAGTGGCCCAGGCTGGGCTCAAACTTTTGATCCTTCTGCCTCAACCTGCCAGAGTGCTGGGATTACAGATAGGAATGTGCTGCTGTACCCAGCTATGATGGCCCTAATTAAAAGAACTGCATTCTAATCTCTGTTACTTTGAAGCCTCCAACGATCTCTGTATCTCCTCCAGTCTTGTTCCCTCAATTCATTTGTTATAGTCTGTGATCAGAATAATGTTTCCAAACTGAACCTAGCTCTCTAGTACTCATGATTGAAACTTCTCCATAATTTTTGATTCTGTGAGAAACGATTCAAGTTCTGTACAGTGATTTGCAAACCTCCTCATTGTATGGCTGCACTTACTTTTTAAAGTTCATGTACTTTCCTTCACTGACTAGCTACAGCCACAGTTCAGCCATGCTGAATTTCCACCAGTTCCTTGACTGAGCAGGATACCCCATGGCCATCCAATATATACTTTCTCCAGCCTGAAGTGAAATGTTTCCCTTGCCTTTTTCTTCACCTGGATCACTTTTAATGATCCCTTTGACATGTACCACGGTGTTGAAGCTGGTTTGCCAAAAGTGACTTGGGTGTCCTTTATTTGCACTCCAAAATCAACCTTTACCCCACCCATATTAGTGGTTATTCCTGTGCGGTGTTCCTATAAAAGTGACACAGCATGAAAGAAAAATTAGATCCTAATTCACACTACCTTTAATATTTTAGGCACTAGGAGGTGATTCTAAACATTTTAATTGATATCGAGTGTAGTTGGAATTTAGTTCAGTATCAGATACATTGATAACTTCCACATCCATGTCTTTAGCATTGCCTGACATTTTCAAATGTCAAATGAGCATGTGCACCTGGATGGCAAATATGCAAATAGACCTATTAGCTTCTGTCAAATACCTTCTCTTGTACCTCTCTTCTCCAGAGTAACTAAAAACATTGAGGTCATCTTTTCACTATTAAAACACGAAGGGTACATTTCTTGTTCTCTAGAACATATTCTGTAGAAAGTACAAGGTGTGAAGGAAAAATACAGTGAATGTTTAAATTTTAAAAATTTATTATAGTAAAAAGCACATTGCCATTACTCTCACTCAAAATACTACCCCTTGCTTCATTCACACTTACTCATCATTCTTGGCACTCTTTGAAGTAGTTCTGGAGGTCCTCTTTCGTGTCTATAGTTGTACTGTCCTGGTTGCCACAGTGTCCTGAGTCCATTCAAAATGTGTACCTTTTATGACCATTTTAACTATAGGGAAGAGATGGAAGTCACATGGTGTCAGATTCAGTGAATAAGGTGGACAAAAACACACAGTAATCTTTTTATGAGCCTGCCCTTCCATTGGATGACATGCAGCAGCCACATTCACCATATTTTTGGTCACATCTCATAATGATATTCAGGAAAGAGGACTTGAAGAACTGCTTCAGAAAGTGGAAAAATGATGAGATAAGTGTCTTCCAAAAGAAGGAGAGGATTTTGAGGGAGATTAATGCTAATGGGTCTTTTAGTGTAAGAAAAAATTTAAAATGTAAACGTCCACTAAATATTTGTTTTTGATCATCCCTTGTATCACTTGGAAAACTGAGCAGTTCATCTCTTTATTTTTATGAATAACTTAAATGAAGGAATAATCACTATTGAGAGGATTTTTTTCTTCAAAGATGGCCTGTTCCTGCTTCTGTTAGCCATGTGGAATAGTGAACATAATCCTTAGTAATTCTACACCAGATATCACTAGGTAATGTAATTAAGCAAATTTTTCCAAAATAAAAGCATAAAACAATTTCCAAACTCCAATATGATCTACTTTTGGAGTTCCTATAGACTCAAATTATGTGTGTGTTTATTGAATTCAGGTCTTTCTTTCAAAATGATGAAATTCAACTCTACTTAACAATAAAATGAGCAGGTCTTAGGTATTTTTTCCTAGTATAGGTATAATTAAATGTAATTAGTCAAACCCCAGTTTTTACATAAACCTTACCCATCAATAACTGATTATATTCAAATGTGGTTTGATTTATTGTGTATATCTTTTTTTTTAAGCCCTTAAGGGTCAGCAGTGTGTTTTGCACTTTCCATGTTTTGAGTCCAAAAATGATGTCTTCTGCTCACCTCTTAGGGTAGTTACTCATTTAAATACATTACATTTAAATTATAAAAGTAGGGAGATGTTGGAAATATATAATCCTTAGGAAACTGTATTCTGGAGAGGTTATCCAAGTCCTCACTGCTAATTAGAGCAAAGTTGGAACTAGAATGCAGGTCACTGTGTGAACCAAAATTTTGTATGAAAGATAACAGTGCTGTCTATCTTTTGGAAGTTTATTAAATAATAATTCCATAGCTGAAGATGCTGTAAAAGGTGAATATTATCTATTTGGTTTGTCTTTGAAATTAATTTCAAAAGCCATTTGAGAAATGTAGCTGCTTAATACATCCACTGTTTATTTTATCTCCTGCCTGATATTGTATACATGTTCATTCTATATTTATACTTCATAATTAATGGACATTGTTTACCATCCTTGCAGTGTAAATGAATCTGAGCCTTCTTTTGAAGCAACCAGAAGGTATTATTTCTATTTTCACCTGAGTTTAATAAAAATAACTTCCTTCCTCAGTCTTTGCTTTAATTCCTTACTCCTAGCCATGTTGTTCATTCAGATGAAGTACGGTTATTTTTAAAAAGTGCTACATATTTCCAAAGCAGTAGTTTACAACCTTTGCAGACTGCCAAAAATACTGATTTGTCAACAAAAATGGGTTACTGTGTCACCTGTTTTTATCTCAGTCACATGTTTTGACTTTTGCTGAAGTTCAGGCTGTCCTTGTTAAACTAGATTTGAGATTCATAAAATTAAAATGTAAGAATTAATGCATATGTTGATTGTGATTCAAACAATGATGAAGTCTGATTTATAAGGCAGCGATCAAGAGGAAAGTGCTTTATCTACTTAAAACAAAAGCTACCCTTAGGGGTGGGGCTTTAGCTCACATGTGTAGTGTGTCTGACACCCTGGGATTCAGTGCCAGCACCAAACAACACAAAGAGCAAAAGCCCTCTTACAGGCCAGGGGAACGGGAGGCAGACACGTCAGAGTTTGGAACCACTGCTTTACTGCACATGTAGTTATCTAAATGATTACTAGCATCCTATACATTATCACGTCTTCTAAACTCCTAAGATGGAATGTTTCAAGATGATCTCTGACCATCTAATGTCTCTTTCCTAAACCAACTTTCCTTTAACCTTCGTTCCTTCTTCTGTACTTACAGATCATGGACTAACTATGGAAATCCAACTTTTAAGCTGATCTGTCCCCCATCCCAGTCCCATATTCTCTTTATCTTCAGCTCAGATGTATTTTCCTAATTATTGCAAATTAAAGTCTTAGATATATATCTATATAGATATATCTCTATATATCTGGTAGAATTTTCAAGCTAAAAAAATGGAAGGGGAGGGGAGGAGAATATCATTAAAAATAAAGTATACGAATATGTTTTGAAATGTGTAGTTTTAAGATGTGTAATTTCAATGTTGAAATGGACTTCTTAAGATATTTATGATACTCACTACCTTTAAAATATGACAGTGTAGGGCCGGGGATTTAGCTCAATGATGCCCCGCCTGCCTGGCAAGCTCAAAGTGCTGAGTTCAATTCCTGGTACCAAAAGAAAAAAACAAAAACAGATGACACTGTAATTAAGCCACAAGAAAATAGCATAATTATATTATCAATTCCTGTTTTTTAAAAAGATCTACATACAGAATTCACTGTTACACAAAGTGCTTTTAATATAAAATAAAATATCTGTGGATATTGGAGAAAGTGAATTTTTTATTAATTTTTAATTATTGCAAAAATTTATAGTCATTTCCGAAAAGAAAATTTAAATAGCAATTTATATCTTAAAACATTATATGACATTGTGATTAAATTTTAATCTCATTAATTTAGGTGACTTATTTAATCACTGTTGATTGTTTAAAATTTTCTTTTAGAAGTTTTCCATTTCTGTGTCTGAGATCTTTTATCAACTATCTTCCCCCTAGTTATAATAAAATACATACACAGTGCAGCACCCTTACATAATTCTGGTATTTTGTTTTTCTTTTTCATTTTCCAGTAGGAACAGGTATTCCGTGGCTTATGCAGCTCAAAAGCCTTGGCTACTAAATGCTACAGTAGAAGAAAATATTACCTTTGGAAGTCCTTTCAACAGACAAAGGTAATTTTGCACATATAAAATTTAGAACTGAAACAACAATTATTTCTGACCCATATTCTTGGTCTGTGGTTTCTGGAATCTTTGCCTAAGGGTCTTCCTTTCTTCCCTACTGGGCCCACTTCCACCCTCATCTCCACCATCTTTTGAATCAAGTTGTTTAAGAAAATCCTCATTGGAACGTTCCAGCCCATCGTGTAGACCAAGCCACAGAAACTGAGGTGTGCGTGTGTGTGGGAGTGAGGTTTACTTAGGTTATGGGTGATCAGATAAAAAGAGGGAAACTCAAGGAAGTTGAAGAAGGGGAGCTGTGGACCAAAGAATAATGTGAGATCTGAGAGGCTGAGTGACCTGGAGCCCCAGAAAATCCCCTGTTCTGGCCATCTTCCCCCAGAACATAGGAAAGTATGACCCTTCCCTTGACCCACCTTTATGGGGGTGAATCATCAGACCCTAAATGGGGCTTAAAGTTTGAGAATCAGGCAAGGGGAGCGGCATGAGGAAGGAGGAAGGAATCTGAAAGCAGATAGTGTGGGAGAAAGAACATAACTTTCCTGGGTCTGTCTGGGGTCTGGGAACAAGTCAGACAGAATGGGATTCAGAAGACTGAGATGAGGTCTTGAGGGGGCATATGTCAGGAGCAATGCTACGTAATTTCAGGGAAAAATCACTTGATTAGGCCTAGTTCTCCTGCCTACAGGCCAGCTATGGCATTTCGAGACATAATTCCACTTTGGCCTCTGGTCACAACTGAGACCTCAGTGATCCGGTGATGCTGTGATGCTCCAGGACAAGATTACACCAGCAGGAGACATCCTGGCAGGAACAAAATCTTCATCTACTCAGTTCCTCATTGTTCTTGGATTTCCGCTGCTCCCCAGTCATTTGTTACACTTTGTTTATCCGGATGTACTGAACTCTCTGGGAGTCATTTGTCACATTTGTTTCTCCCGATGTACTGAATGAAAGGTACTGAATAAAAGGTGCGGTAAACTGGGGGCTTTTATCTTTGCTGCCCAGAGCAGCACTGATCAGACCCAAAGCTAAGCCTCTTCTCAAAGTCTCATTTTTTCATATAATAAATTCATTTGCCTTGTGCTGGATTGGCTCGCAGGAGACTAGGACACACTGCAGAGGTTCTAGTAACGTCCCCTTTCCCTGGTCCCTACAGGCATAAATTTTGTGTATTCTGGGGAGGCACTGCAAGCTGTGGAAATGAGGAAAACACGGCAGATGTGATGTTTAATCTGGAAGTAAAATCTGACAGATTAGATATAGGTAGATATATAGAAACAGTCTGAACTGGGATCAAGGAGACATTTAGGATTCCTTTGAAATAATTACCCAGGCAGGCATTGAGTTACCTGCACTTGGAAGTGACAATAAAAGTGTAAAAAGCATGGATGATTGAAGAAAAGAAACAGATTCTGGAATAAGAATGGACAAACATGAGAGTAGAAGAGGGAACAAGCAAGAATTATTTGAATATTTTAAGACTACAAACTAAAAAAACAAAACCATTGAGGTTTATCCCAGCATCTCCAATACCCATGCTTCCCTCCAGCTTTCAAGACATTGAAGCTTGGTGGGGGCAGTGTATTAACAGTGAATTAAAATCCAAAATCATTTCTCCCAAAGGTACAAAGCTGTCACGGATGCCTGTTCTCTTCAGCCAGACATTGACCTGTTACCATTTGGAGACCAAACTGAAATTGGAGAGAGGGTGAGCTATGTGTAGTTGAATTAAACAATAGACAGAACCTAGATGTCTCTGGTTGTCTTTAATCCTTCATGGAACACAATGAACTCTGAGAGAGAAGAAGTTGAATGGTGTCCTCGTGACAAATTCCAAAATGTGACGACAAGTCTTCTGATGGCACTGTCCCTGAAGGATTTATCAAGTAACCACCCTTGGGAGTTCTCAGAGAAATAAAATGCAGTCCCTGGCTTTGACTAAATATGTTTTTACTGACTATGAGCTTGCTTTAATTGCTTTGGAACCTGAGGTTGCTTCCAACAGCTTCTTCCACTCTTGTCAACCTCTATTTATTTTTGTTAAAGTGTTCTATTTTCTTCACATAAACATGTTTTATGTTGACGTCATGCTATTCTGACCAGCTGAAAAATGTTTATACCTGAAGTCTTGTATAACATCAGTAGCTAAGTATGTTTAACCTCATAGGTATCAAGTACCAGCAAAAGCTTTATACATATTATCTACTTTGACAGCAAATCTGTGTTGTGGTTACTAATTGTTGTCTACATTTTATAGCTGAGAAAAACCAAGGCATAAGAACTTGCCCAAATGCAGTTAGTGGTGTACCAAAGATTATTCTGACTCTGTTACCTTTAGTTCTTAATGGTTTTATCACATCAAATGCTCTTTATTTCAGCATAGTATAGTACCTCCATATTGGAATTGCTATAAAAAAGAAATAAGAACTGTAAAGCCATTTAAACAAGCCTAGCACATACTAAGTGCTTAATTAATACTAGTTTTTAAAAAATTTTAATTAATACTTCCTTATGAAAGAATAGTGGTATATAATCCTGTTTAACATAACATGTAATATAAAATGTAAGAACTATGTGTTAAGTAATCTGCAGGAAACTAGAAAAATGTGGAATTGCTTGCAGTTTTTCGCATTCGCCAAGGGTTTTCATTATTAATGCTTCAGTAGAGCTGAGCTCTCTATCAGAGTGAAAAGATAAATGCCAATAGTGAAAAAGTATCTTGATGTAATTCAAGTGCTATTAGACCATTTTCATTTTTTCTTATCAGTGTTACCACAATTTAATTAATAAATTCGCACTAACTTTAAAACGTTTCAGCTTTTGTATTTTAGAGGCAATTTTGCCAACAGATGCTACACTAATGGGGAAAAATGGATGTTTCTGGCTATTTCTTCCCTAGGGCATCAACCTGAGCGGGGGACAAAGGCAGAGAATATGTGTGGCCCGGGCACTCTATCAAAACACCAACATTGTCTTCTTGGTAAGAATACTACGGCCTTTCCCTTATTTCTATCTCATTTTTCCCTCTAGGAAAATAAGCCTTTAAAGAGACAGGCCAAGTAACATAAGGAAAGGCGGCTTACCTTGGGAAACCATAGGGTGCCTATGAATCAATGCAAACCAGTAGAAGAGTGGCATGGAAAATGGAGAGCCAGGGGAACTGGTTCATGTCCAAGAGACTGTGATTCTCTAACAGGTGGTTTAGCTGAGTTTCCTCACCAGGAGGATCACTAATAAGGGAGTGTGGAGTGTTGGATCAACTGCAGAATCATGAGTCTTCTAATTTATATTTTATGGCAAAGAAAGAAAGACTAGGAAATATACCAACTCTCCATACAAGGAGTATGCAATTCAGGCTCCAATAAGGTTTGTGATGCTTCTTAAAACTATTGAAATCTTGGTCCTACTCTAGACCTATTGAATCATAATTTGAAAGAGTCTAGAGCTGTCTCTGAAAAGCTCCATAGATGATACTCATGTTTATATTGGAGCAAAAATGTATTCTACCCATGCAGTGACAAAATTTGATGTTTGCAATAATGACTTTGGTTTTCTAGGAGGTAATACGCAGTCAAAATAATGTAGCTTATAACTACACAGAGACCAGCAGGTTATGTAAATGTAGGCTTCCTTTGCCTTCTCTTTCTGTATAAATTGCTGAGCATTCATAAATCGGCTTCCTGGACCTGCTCACTTCATCTCATCTCTAGAACCTCTACAAAATGTCAGTGGGAGTTCACCAGTGAATCTGGATCCTCTATATATAGAAAAATTGGGACATACTGAAAATTCATTTCAAGTTATTACCTCTCACAATACCTGTCCCTACAGTTTAAAAAAAAAAGAAAGAAAAAACCCCATAAAAGCCATAGTATTATCTAGCAGTAACCTATGCAATTGTAAGTCCTTTTCACAGTGACTGGTCCTACCAATAAAAATGACTTCTTGAACCTTGGGATAATTAAAGTACCTGAAGATCATGTGACCTGAAAATCTGAAAGTTTCACCCTCCTCTAGGTGTGGCCTTCTATTACAGTTCCTTCCACTGCCTGTAATTTAGTGACCCTGACTTACTTCAATTGTGAATCATGGAATTCAAAGAAGTCACAGCTTTAACTTACTGTGGGTTCCCACTCGTTCTTTACAAAATCACTTGTAGCATCAGCTCTAACAACTTCTTGTTGGCTCTCTCTAAAGATACAGCTTACTTTTAAGGCATGCTTTACGTTGTTGGATTGTGTATGAGCTTCCTGTTGATGTATAACAAACTACCATCATAAATGACTTAACATAAAGTTATTATCTTACAATTTGGTATTTCAGAAGTCTGACAGAGTGTCGGCTAGGCTATGTTACCTTCTGGAGGTTCTGGGGCAGAATATATTTCCTTGACTTTTCCTAAGCTTCTAGAGGCTGCCTGTATTCCTTGTCTCTGGCTGCCCTCTTCCCTTCTCAAAATCAGCATCATTAACCCTTTCTGAGTGTTCTTACATGGCCACATCTGCTGTCTTCAGACCAGGAAATTTCTCTGCTGTAGGGATTGGGCAGTTATTTTGGGACCATCTGGATAATCTCCCCATCTTAAGGTCTTTCAACTTAATCGCATCTGCAGAGCCCCACTTGCCACGCAAAGTAGCATAGTCAAAGTTCTGGGATTTAGGACTTGGACATCTGTAGGGGCCCTTTTTCTGCCTACTCAGACAACTCTCATTCTTAAAAGGTTTGAATGCGATTGAAACCTGCATCTGTGCATTCTCCATTCCTTGACTCTCTTACTGCTTCTGCAGTAACAAATGTATTAGTTTTGTGCAGCCATAGTTCAACATTTTAATATTATTGCCATAGCTTGCCTTACATAGCTTGCCTTAATTCACATGACTCGAGGCTGAGCAAGCTTAGAATTTTCAGTTCTTCCACAAATGACAAAGTTTTTACGACTTTCTTTATCCTGGATCTAATCGTATTTGTCAGATTCCTTTTAAAATATGTGCTAGATGAAATCACATCAGCTTCAATAACTTTAAAGCTACTAGTTCTTTTTTTTAAAACTGTATATCCTTTTATTGGTACATTTTAGGTATACTGTATACTGACATTCATCACTGGAAACTTGCACCTTTACATACGCTCTTGGTTCTTATTGTTTCCCCCTTCCCCTGCCCTCCCTTCAACCCCTTCATCCCTCCCTATTTACAGAGACATTGTTTCCTTTTTTTCATTTTCTCATATTAATTCCATTCCCTTCTTTTCTTTCCCTTCCCCCTCCCCCTTCCCCTTCCCCTTTGATCCTTTTCTTCCTATTTCACATTATCTATTATACCTTTTAGTCCTTATTTACACTTTCAGTTTCTCACACTACAGAAACTATTCGGTATTTATACATGTGTGTCCTATTTATTTCACTTGAGAGTATGACCTCAATGTGCATCCATTTAGCAATAAATGTCTCTAATTTCTCATTTTTTATGGCTGAGTAGTACTCAATTTTATTTTTTTAAAACTCACTTTTTCAAATCCAGTCTCCAGTTGATGGGCAATTGGGCTGCTTCCAAGTTTTAGCTATTATAAACTGTGCTGCTGTGAACATGGATGCACATATATCACTGTGGTATGATTCTTTTAATTCTTTGGGGAAGATACCCAGCAGGGGAATAGCTGGGTCTAATGGGACTTCCAGTCCTATTTCTTTGAGGTATCTCCATACTGATTTCCACAGTGGTTGCACCAGTATGCACTCCCACCAGCAGTGGAGCAGGGTTCCTCTTTCCCCACAGCCCTGCCAGCATTTGTTATTGGTTGATTTCTTGATAGCAGCCATTCTTTCTGGGGTGAGGTGGAATCTCAGTGTTGTTTTCATCTGCATCTCTCAAATGACGAGTGATGTTGAACATTTTTTCATATGTTTATTTGCCATTTCTACTTCTTTGTCTGAGAAATGTCTGTTCATTTCAGATGCCCATGTTTGGATTGGGCCTTTAAATTTGGGAGGTCTGATTTTTTTAAAGTTCTTTATAGATTCGAGATAGTAGACCTTTGTCTGAGGGATCAATGGAGAAAATTTTTTCCTACATTGTGGGCTGTCTCTTCACACTGCTGGTGGTTTCTCTTGCTGTGCAGAAGCTTTTTAGAAGCTTTTAAGAAGAGATCCCACTTGTTGATTGTAATAGTTCATGGGCAACTGAGGTTTTGTTCATAAAATCTTTTCCTACACCAATGTCTTCAAGAGTTCTACCTAACCTCTGTTCCAACCAGTTCAGCATTTCTGTTTTAATATTTAGATCTTTAATCCATTTCGATTTTAGTTTAGTGCATGGTGAGACATATAGGTCTAGTTTTAATTTTTGACAAGTTGAAACCCAATTTCTCCAGCACCATTTATTAAAGAGGCTATCTTTCCTCCAGTGAGGGTGTTTGACTCCTTTGTCAAAGATGAGGTGGCTGAGTGTGTCTGGAGTTGTTTCTGCATCTTCTAATCTGTTCCACTGGTCCTCAGGTCTGTTTCTTTGCCAGGACCATGCTGTTTTTATCACAGTAGTTAAAGCTACTAGTTCTTATGATCCGAGCATTATATTTACTTTCTGGCAATTGAAAATCAAAGGACATGCTAAGCAGCAACTCAAAGCTATTGATATGTTTCTGAATTCCTCAAAAATGAAAATATTCTCTACCTCTTCTGTTTAAAAACTCACGAGGCACTCAGAACCACAGTGCTATAGCATTTGATTCTCAGGCCAATACTGAGAGGGTGGCTGGGAGGAGTCAGACACAGATGGCCTCACTGGAGGGAGGAGGAGAAGTGAGTGGTGGAGGCTGGGCCGGGACTGTGTTATCTTTTGAATTCCGTGTTTTCCATCGCTAAGATTCTCTAGTATTTTCTGAAAATATTTCTGCTAAGTTACTACCTGTGTTGTCTTTTTCTCTCCTTCCTTTTAACTTTTCTTATTTTCTCCCTCTTTTTTCCTTTTTTTTTTTCCTACCCACTGATAATGTCCTCAGTTCCATCTTCTGTATTGGGCAAAGGAAACAAAGAAGAGTACACATAATTTCTTTCATGGGTTTACATTTTTATCTAAATACTTTGTATCATGTTAGCCTTACCACAATATGGAAGCCAAATGCATACGCTTTAAGTATATATCCAGATTATTATTTTTGAAATTTTATGGATTCTGCAATGTGCTGTATCAGTGAATATATTATTTATAAAATATATGCATACAAAGAATATAATGCGTAATAACATACTATTTAATATGGCAGAATATATTTATGAAGACTATTTACTTTTGAAAAGATAACTGACCATGCCTTGAGTTGGTCAGTTGGAAAATTATCTTGCTTTTTTAAAAGGAAGTGTCTCCTGAAACTGTTAACATGGAAACTGAATCTAGATGCATGATGTTCAATCCATCAAGCCAGGGTTCTTGCTGAGTTTTCTAAAAGGTTACGCTTGATTATGGCACCCAGATGCCCAGAAATGCCCATGGCATGCGAATGATAGCTTCCGAGGACCTAGACTTGATTCTACATACTTTATATAAATTTCCTCACTCAATAACCTTATTAGATTTGGCACTGCTGTTCTTATTGTTCTTACTAATATTTATGGATGATAGAAATGCTTTTGTGGGGGACAATTTATCCAAGGTCACAGAGATAGTGATATGAAGTAGGGCTACAAATCGAGGAGGCTGGATTTCACAGTTTCTACTTTTAATCACCACATTCTTCCTTATTAAAGGATTCCTTGAAGACATTAAACTTCCAGAGAAATGCTTTAGAGAAATAAGCACAGTATAAATCCTCCACAGCTTTATTTATAAGAAAATAAACATAAAATGCTTTTAAATGATTTATAGAGACATTTACTATATTATTTTATTGGATTTTTGCAGTAATCTGATGCTCTTCCTGACAGGTCTCTTATCCTTATTTTACAAATAAAGTGAAATTTAAAACGCTGTCCCATTAGAGTGGTTGTAACCACAATTTGGCTTTCTTAATTTAGAAATAATAGACTTTCTGTTATATCTTGCTATGTTATGACATTCAAAGTCAGAACTTTGTAGAAAATTAAATTAGTATAAAAACTCATTTTCTGGTCATGTCTTATTTTTTCTATGTGAAAAATTCTTGGTTTAGTCTGCATAACAATGGATTCTTAGGTTTTTATTGGGATCAGAAGCAAAAGGTTGGCTCAAACCATTAACATTACCCCATGATGATTACCTGATTTTCTAAAACCAGTGACATGCTGGTAAATCTTGGTAATTAAATCCCTGCTGCATTATTGCTGATGGAAATGGAGACACCTTTGTCAGTGTAATACCGAAACAGTGATATTTTTTCCACCACGTGGAAACATTTGTTTTATCCTGCATTGCTTTATATTGTTAAAATAATTCGGAAGTTATATCATAATATCTGTGTTAAGGGAAGTTCCTAGATTAGCAGGTGGAATTTCTTATTCAAAAAGTAACAAAATTTAAATAAGAAAATTCATATAAGAATGTTTTTCTTGGTATCAAAGGGAGATAAGCAACAAACAAGGAGCTGGTGTCTGTGATAATTTAAAAAAGCAACTCACTGGGTAGTAGAAAAAAATTCAATCTTCTGTACGTACTACTTCTTGGAACATTTTGGAAATAAGTAATATGAAATGATCCAGAGGATCTGAAAGATTTTTTAAATGTCTTCCATGTCATTTAAAAGCATTTCAGGACAATCAAGATAATTATATCCTTAAATCAATTTTTTTTCATTCTCACATACAGAGTAAGATATTGTCGTAGTTACTTTTCTCTCATTACTGAGACAAAATATCTGACACCCAAAGTGAAAGAGAGAAAGGTTTATTTAGCTCACAGTTTGTAGAGTTTCAGTCCATAATTGGCTGGCTCCAAGGCAGGGTGGCCTGGCAGAGGGGGATTGGAGAAGAGAAATAGTTCATGGTGGGCAGAAGGTAGCAAAGTAACAAGGGCCACCACAGCTCTTTCTATGTCTTACCCAGGCTACTTAGGGTGGGCAGCACTCACACCCTTAATCCTAGTGCCCTTGAGCCTAGCACTGCTCCATGAATTAATCCTAGTATCACACACTGTAGATCCAGCCACCTCTGAAAAAGCCCCACCTATGACTGCATGAGGCTTTCAGGGAATATCTAGACACAAGACATAACAATATAAATATATATTTTTATATAAATGTACAGTGGACGTGCTTATTATGATAATTTATTCAACTATTACACTATCCAGAGCACATTATTTAAATGGCTTAAATAAATGAGATAACTGGAGTGATAGTGCTGTTGTTATAAGTATTTTTATAAAAGCCATTTGGAACATCAATTATATCACCCATTTAATCATGGCTATGATATCCAGTAGATGGATTTGTAAAAAGTTATTTTAATTTTGAATCATCTTTAAACTAAATACTTTATTAGTATTTCTTTTCTAAAACTTCTCCTAAGTGCTTTAATAAAGTCGTATTACTTACAGTTTCTGTTGACACAGGAAGCATTTTATGCTTCCTGTTGAAAAACTACTGTACCAATCATGTCATTGTCCATAATGAGCATATACATAGATCTATCCTAATCCAATCATCAGTTTCCAACTTGTTAGAAACTGCTTTTATTTTTGGTCATTCAGGTAATGAGCAATGCAATCTATCTGTATAGAGAATAGGATGATGCTAAATTATTTCCAGAATTTCCTAGGATTATAATTTCTAAATAGCTCAGTAGCCTATGTGTAGCAGAATGAGAATCCAGCTATTTCTTTCTTGGGCCTGTAAGACAAAGTAGAAATCTGTCTGGATATTGCTGAGAAATACATGTGATGAAGAAGACAAGATTCCAGTCATGCTTCCCAATTCTTTACCAGAAAGCTCTATCATTTTTATGGCTTTGTTCCTTCTGCAGTGCCTCAGTCCTTCATTTCCTGCCATTGTAGGACTCTGGTCATCCTGTGCCTGTTATATGTTATCCCTGCAGGTCATTTTGCTTTGCGGTTCACTGTTTGAGGGAACGTTCTAGCTCTCCTCAGCAGTTTATAGTTTTCTTCTTTTAAATATCCCAAAATATGAAACAATGCACTGTGATGCTCTACATAACATTATAGGAATAAAACAGATATTAAAATAAACCAATAGTTAACATCATCACTAAATCAATTAATATAATTTTCTAAATGCCTCAATCACTTTGTGCATGAAGATTTTCTTCCCAAGGCAACTGACATTAATTGAGTGTTAAGTATGTTATATTATACCAAATAATAATAATAATATTATTATTCATCTAGTATCTATTATGTACCTGGTGCCATACAAATCATTTAAGGGATATGACTTCATTGAATCATAAGCACATTCCCCTGAAGTAGGTGCTGCTGTGCTGAAATTAACAGTTTCTATGCTCTTTTTAATTATCTAGAACTCAACTTCTGCAATTATATTTTCATTGTTTGGTCTATTATAGGTTGCTGAGTAAAGGTAATTTTTGAACTTTAGGAATCTATAAGGATTCATGCCATTTATAATAGTGTTACTTGTTAAGAGTCTTAGGGTGGAAAACATGAAAGCTTAATTTAAATTACTTTTTCTGACTATTTAAATGCACACAGAGTCTGTTTCTCATAAGTTGGGTTTGGGGGATCATTTGTCCTTTGTTATTTTTATTTCTCCTCTCTGGAGGCATGGAGCTGCATAAACAGTATGGAAAATGTTCATCTTCCCACCACTTTATTTGGCTGCAGGATGACCCATTCTCTGCCCTGGACATCCACTTGAGTGATCATTTAATGCAGGAAGGGATTTTGAAATTTCTCCAAGATGACAAAAGGACACTTGTTCTCGTGACTCACAAGTTACAGTATCTGACACACGCTGACTGGGTGAGAGCTGTAATAGTTATATTATAGTCATATAATGTTAGGACATGCGTTCTGTGGGTAAAGGTAACTCATTTGGCCACTTAAGGCTTCTGTCACATACATGTGCTCTCCTCAGATCATAGCCATGAAAGATGGAAGTGTCCTAAGGGAAGGGACTTTGAAAGACATTCAAACCAAAGATGTTGAGCTGTACGAACACTGGAAAACACTTATGAATCGGCAAGATCAGGAATTAGAAAAGGTAAATACTCAATTCAGACGTGGAATTAATGTACTGTGGAGTTCCTAAGAATGCTTTTAAAGAAGTATCCCATTTAATACTTGCTAATACAATGGATCTCATCTCAAACCCAAAATAATTGTATTTTGCATATGATTAATGGACAGATTACTGTGCTTTGAACCTATGAAATTCTAATGGTGTTTTTCGGTGAAGTGCTATGAGATTTTTGGAGGATTTTCATTTACATCTGCAACTGTCTGTGTATGTAAAACTTAAACACACTCTTCACTGAAGCATAGCATTTCTTCATTTTGTCTTATTTTTCTTCATTTATATCTTTTTCATCTGTAACATGAAAATATTTTCACCCACTGCTTACCAGCTGAGGGTCCTGGGTGAGACAAAAGCCAAGGTGATGGTGAAGGAAGGGAAAAGCTGTGAGCTATTGGTGAATAGGACTGGAGGGCTGACGGCAGGTGATCAGAAGAGGGAATAATAAGATTTTTATGTTTATATAGTTTTTTAGAAACCACAAGACCTTTTTCATACAGTCTCACAAGCCCCTGAGAAATAAGTACAGAGAATATTATTTCACTTTTATAGTTGAGAAAAATGAGGCTCGGAGAGCTTATTACGTACTTGGCTCATGTTGTACAATAGGTATAGTAAGTGGTACCAATGGAAGTTAAACTCAGGCCCGTATCCAAGGTAATTGCGCTTTAGTGCTACAGCATTAGGTGATGTGATAACAGACTTGGAAAACAGATTGAGTACAACTTGTAGTTGAGAGAAGAAATTGTAAATTAAAGTTGCACATTTTTGAAATGTTTTGCTTTTGAGCTTGGATTAGGACCATGTCCAGAATTTGATGTTCTTGGATAGGAATGAGCATTTTAAAAATGAAATATTTGTATCAACAAATTTCTTTAAAATATCAGGAGAGTAAATGTATCATTTAAGAAGGGGAAAATCTATGTTTCTATGGAGAAGAAGACAAATCCTGACATTTCCCTATCTCCCGTGAGTTTTATGATGATCTCAAAACAAACCACATAAAGAAGAAAAAAAGCTAGGCATAGAAAAGGACAAATCAAGGTGCAAATTTCCAATGATGAAGGTCATTATATTGTATACCTAAAATGTACCAATGATTAGAATGAATAATTGATAATGTGAAATAGGAAGAAAAGGTCCAAAGGGGTAGGGGTAGTGGGAGGGGTAGGGGAAAGGAAAGAAGGGAAAGGAAAAATGCTGAGAAATGGAAAAAATGGAAATAAAGTCTTTGTAAATAGGGAAGGGTGGAGGGGGTGAAGGGAGGGCTAGGAATGGGGAAAAAATAAGAACCAAGATGCATTATGTACAGGTACAATTCCCAATGAGTAATGTAAATGTATTGTAAACCTAAAAGGTACCAATAAAAGAATTTAAGGGAAAAAAAGGACAAATCATAAAACCACGGACGTTAGAGTATTAGACAAAAAAATTACAAGATATAATCCACAAGTGTGCACTTAGGAATTGTGCTATGGAAAGCTTAATTATAAACATACTGGGGGTGGCTCCAAATGACCTTTTTTTTCAATGATCGGAATACCAGGAACAAAAGAACATGATGTAAGCTTAAGGAGTATAAGCTTGTGGTTTCCTTTGATAAGAACTTCAGGAAAAAAATAAGTGCTGTTGGCTTGATTTTCTAGTAATATTCTTAAGCAGGCCAAGAAGCATGTTCATTATGCTGTATTTAGAAATGAAATGATTACGTGAGATAGCATAGCTGTATAATTAAAGACAGCAGGGATTTAAACCAGCGGAGGGAGATAGGGAATACGACAGGGTCTGATGGGGTAAATCCATTTGTAAGATGGAATGGTGGCCAGGAGAAGCGAAGATAATGGAGCACCTGCCTAGAGTCCCCATCTGGGGATGGAGGGTGATCCGTCCTACAACGGAACGCAGGCACTTGAGTTCATCAGGAGTCATCAAGAATTCCATCATGGAGATCAAGACTACTGGATGACATTGGGATCATTTTTGCAGAAAAAACTTTCTGTTTTGTTTGGAAGGATGGTGTGCTTACCTACAAATCAGTGCCAGTTTTGCCTCCTGGGAGATTAGTAACATCTGGAGAACATTTTTGGTTGTTAAAACTGGGGCAGAAAGGTGGTACCAGGACCCAGCCAGTAGGAGACAGGGATGCTGCTTGGCATCCTGTAGGGGACAGGGCAGCCAGAACAACAAACACTCAAAGCAGCCCAGATGGTAATGGTGCCAAAAATGAGAAAGCCTGGCCCGATACACAATAAATGCAGCAAAAGAGAAGGGAAAGGAAACCAAGGGACACATGGAACCTTCTGCCATGAGGCTTTAGGGAGAACTTTCAGTTTAAGGGTTAAAGAGTGAATGGGATCGAAATGAATTTGTTCAAAAGATGGTCATGAGGACTACAAAGAAGGAGATAATGTTTTTAGCTGATTTTAAATGTTATTAAAAGTTGCGCAATGGGTAATATCAACCATTATCTTCATAATGTTATTAAGCAAAATAAAATTAGTACCATTTGATGCTTCCCATTTTCTCTGCCCATGACCTCACCTTAGCTTGGCCCAGTAAATATTTATTGGATAAATGAAACTAAATTTGTATTTACTTAACCCAAATATCAACACGATTCAAAATGTTTAACCTGTTATGAGCTTCATCAGAGCATTTTACTCCAAGAAAATTCTCTTTAAATTTGTTGTGATGTTTTTAAGCCTCCAAAATAAATCTTATGCTTAGATATAATGAGGAGTTGAACCAGAAGCAAATCTACTTGGTTCAGGTTTATTTTACTCCATTACATGATACACAAAAGTTGGGCATGGCTCTTCATTTTGTGTCTTATGTAGCCTTGTTTACAAATGTTGGTTTTCACATCAGGAGGCAAATTCAGAGGCTATCATGAAAATGTCTTGTAAAAATGCTATTAGGAGACATTTTGGTTTTTATTCTTTTAACCAAGAATTTGGAAGTAACAGAGTCTTTTAGAACAGTAAGTCTTTTAACTCACATGTTATATAAGTTATAAGTGCGGGAAATGACCAGATCACTTCTGATAACCTAAAGTTTATTGGTTTATTGGGGTAACAAACTGTATTTTTGCTTTTTTTTTATATTGGCACATACAAAGAGTCTGCAATTTACTATACATCCCCCAAATTTGTGGGTGAGTTGATTGGACCTTGTTGTGCATTTCCCTCCCAGAAGTAGGGTGATTAGTTTTCAAGTCTGGTGAGAAGAATCTGATCTAACCCACCATATACCTGAACTGCTGCTACTAACCCAGTTCTGAGAGCTGGGGAAGAGCGTTGAAGTGTTGGAAGCCAGGGCAGGGAGAAAGTCAAACCCTTCTTCCTTTTTTGAGTACAGGACAAGACTGCACCAACTCTTAAAAACCTGTTGTTGGCACCTTTCCCTTCTTTTTCTACATATTTCCCCCTCCTGGGCTTTCTGTAGCCACCTAAGGACCTTCCCTGCCTATTTGCTTCAAAATTGCCTGCCTTTGTTCATATTCTACCAAAGTCCTTCTGTATAGCTCCCTCAGTGAGATGCAAAAGAAATTCATTCTGAACTAATACTTCATCATAATAGTGGATGGCTGTTAGTTTTGCTAACTCAGAACTAATGTATTTTTAAGGACGATACTTAATAACATAAATGAATTCTTAGAAAAATTACAGTGTTTGAAATTGATGTAAAAATAAAATAAGTAGCAGTGGTGGAGGGATGCTTCAGAGTTAAGGGAGTTATTCTTCCTTCCCTGGGTGGGTTCCATCACTTTGTCATTACTTTTCTGGCTTCCCACTGCCTTCTACCTCTGAACAGTGAAACATTTCCTACAAACCTAAGACTGCTTATTACTGCTTTTGTGATAGGTTTGCTAGGTTTGAAGAGTGAGCAGAGAGCCCTTGAGGCTGATATAAAACCATTGGTGTGTGTGAGTAAGGGTAAGTCAAACCCTCCTTCCTGCTGGAGCTGATGAATGATAGCACAATGTTCACTGTAGGATATGGAAGCTGACCAAACAACCTTAGAGAGGAAAACTCTCCGAAGAGCCATGTATTCCAGAGAGGCCAAAGCCCAAATGGAAGATGAAGATGAAGGTAGATCTTTTCTTGTACCTGAACCATTCAAGTGGGGTAACAGAATATGAGGATTTTATCTTGTCAGTTGATATGTGAATGTCTTAGTGAGAAATAATAAGTCATTTTGCAGGGGAAAATGCTAAATCAATGCCTAACATGAAAATGAAAAGAATAGGAGGCCAGGAAAGGTATAAGTCATCCAATGGTGGGCATTAAGAGGGTCTCCACAAAGTGTGTCTTAGAACGTTTGTACCATGTGTGACACAAATTGAAAGAAAAAGGCTGGGTCTGTAAATGCAGCTAGACCTTTATTCAGAACACTTGGAAAGGCCTAGTGTAGTGATCAAATCAAGAGAGTAATGAAATGTCAGTCCTTCAGAGATAAACAATAAGGGGCAAATATGGGATTGTGCTCTGATTCATTCAGTAAGTTCTCATGAGGATTTCATGACAATAAAGCAACAAAGGATAAGAACATTGTGGTGCTATTTATCCATTTCCAGGATTTAATATTACCAGGAAAAAACACAATCAAAATTTGAAATAATGAGGTGAAAAATTACATTGCACTGACATTTATTGCCAAGAGAATGTAAGAAATATCACAACTTAATCCCATGGAGTAAATGCATTATATGTACTTTTGTTCCTATGTAGTCTTTATTTATGACTGCATTTCTATGAGCTAACTTACAAATATGATTTGAAGCTCCCTTACATGAGGCTTATCAAACACCAAAATGTTCCACCTTTCAGATAATAACTATTCAATGTTTCAGAGAATGATCAGAGAGTATATGAATGAATGAATCAATGAGTCGGTGAACAATAAGTTTTGCATTTCGTTTCTAAGATTGAAAAAGGGTTTAAAGAATTTTGGGTTCTATAAGTAGAAGCTTCTGGAATTCTAAACCAGTTATTTGTAATGTACTCTAAACATGGAGTTGCACCCAGTTCTTTTGTCCGGTGTTCCTGTGGGGAGTACATCGCTGGAGAGGCTGACTCTGCCCTGGACTTCCGTTTTCCCCAATGCAAAATAATAATACTTTTTTTACAGAGGCAAAGGAGATAATGTGTGTTAAAGAGCCCATTGCAGTACAGACTACCTAGTAGGCCGATGCTCCAGGGCCTATCACTATATCTGTTCAAGCCACCAGGAAGGGAGGAAGGAAAAGAACAGACACCTGCTTCCCCTTAAGGCATCTGAGGCTGCACATATTGTTTGTACTTACTATTAGCCAGTTCATTGCCTGAACAGGTTAGGAACTGGGAACATATGGAGAAATATTGCCTTTAGCTGTGCTGCCTTGGGCGACTTGATAGAGAAGCAGAGAATGGATACTGGGGAGACAGCTGCAGTCTTCAAGGGTTCTCCTTTTGGATTTTGCAAATTTCTATTCCTGTCCTCACACAGAGAACACCTTCCTACTAAAGGAGGAGTCATCCAAGACCTGGTAATTTAGTTCATCCATCCTTGGAAATGCTCAGCCTTCCATCCTGTCATATTTGCATCTCTCTTTTCTGATAATCTGTGAACGAAAGATAAGTTATCTGTCTTTTCATACCTGGTCCTACAGAGGAGTGTGTTCTACATGAGATAAATGTAATGGAAGCTGTCTTTGGAGAAGGAAAGGATGGGAAACATACCTCAGTCACTGGGGTGCACAAATGAGCAAGCTTTGTAAAGATTCCCTGCCCTAGCAGTGAGGACATGCTTAAGATCACCCATCTGGGAAGTGACAAGTGGCTTAAACACCAGAACTGCCTGCTCATTATCTGCTGTAGACCCTGGCTTTGCCCTCTGAAAAATTTCTCTTTGCCTCCTGTCTCCTGACTACATCTGAAATGGGCCATAGAAAGCATGGATTAGACTTTTGGGAATCTACACCCAAGTTCCAGAGACTTGTTTTTTCTTGGTGTAGTTTTATAACCTCAGAAATGTATAGGTCAAAAAATTGGAGATGTTCAGAGACCAGATACATAGTTTTATTCACAGTTCCTTCAGTGACTTAATAAATATGTTTCTGGTCTATACTTCCAGTCAGTTTGATCTGGGAGTCGACAAATGGTGTCAGCCAGACCCAGATTTTATGTTTGTTTAATCATTCAGTCAGTCATTCATTCTTTACCTGTTGTCAGATAAAACAAAACTATGAGGTTTGCTTTGCTAACAGCATTTAATGTAATAAATTACATTTCTATAAATTTGAGGGTGGCTTTTTGTATTTTTTTGAATGACAATAAAAATTATATCTTCCTCATGCCCATCTGAAGGTTAAACAGATTTTTGTTTGTTTGTTTGGTTGGTTGGTTGTTTTTGGCATGTGTGTAGAGGAAGAAGAAGAGGAAGATGAAGATGATGACATGTCAACTGTGATGAGGCTCAGGACTAAAATGCCGTGGAAAACCTGTTGGTGGTACCTTACTTCTGGAGGATTCTTCTTACTCTTCCTAATGATTTTCTCTAAGCTTTTGAAGCATTCAGTTATTGTAGCTATAGACTATTGGCTGGCTACATGGACATCTGAGTACAGTATAAACAATACTGGAAAAACTGATCAGGTACTGTGGGTTCAGTTCTGCTTTTAAGTCATCAAGGAATTATTGAGATGAACAATGATACCACCTTATGTAGTTAGGTACTAGAAGCTCAAATGTCAAAGGATGATGATTCAATGACTTGGCAATGAGTAGAGGACTTGAAATAGAATAAACTGTCAATAGCATAAAAAATAACATCTATTATTATTACTTGTATTTTTTAAAGATTATCATAAGAAAAATTTGAAAATGCTGTTTGGATTTAGATTCAAGAGAATTCTATACATAGCATTTTTAAATGTATAATATGTATACTCTACACATACGTACAAGCACTTTTTGGTTATTGTTTGATGGCATTTGATTTTTTTTTTTTTGGTACCGGGGATTGAACTTGGGATCTTGTGCTTGTGGGGCAGGTGGCGGAACCACTGAGCTAAATCCACGGCCCAGCATTTGATTTTTAACACCCCATTATGAGTGTATCAGCTGGTCATTCCGTGATTGGGAATGGAAAGACTGTGTTCCATAAGGTAGAAAACCAAGAATTTTCCCAAACCTTAAAGCAAGCTTTAATCCTTTGTCCTTCATCTCCTTGGCAAATCTTGAAAGGGAGAACAGGAAGTTGGCAGGGGTTGGCCTGGGGGATCACAATGAGGATTCTGCCGTGGGTCTCTGGATCCTGCATGCCTCCAGCTGTCTAAATGTACACAAGATAGGGAAGTCAATGATCTTGTCTTAGCATGCTGTTTGGTTTTCTAATTTAAAAAGCCTCAGTTGTTAATGACCTGTGAACTTTTCCTGTTGCTTGCTGTGTAGACCTTCTATGTGGCTGTATTTAGCATCCTTTGCGGAGCAGGTATTTTCCTTTGTCTCGTCACATCTCTCACTGTAGAATGGATGGGTCTCACAGCTGCCAAAAATCTTCACCATAATCTTCTCAAGAAGATCATTCTCGGACCAATAAGGTAAAAACAGTAGTTGTTTCTTTCTCCCACACACAAAACCCTAAAAACATGTACTTTAAAATCTAACTAAAATGTGAAAGTTTAAAGAGTTTCGTCAGTCCTTGAGCACATGAATAGGGAAGACTTCTTACTTTCATGACTCTAGATGTTCCTTAGCAGTGCTCAGATTGCAGATAGTTCAGTCTTATCATGCACTTCCATCTGTTCCTTGCTTAGGTTCTTTGATACTACACCCCTGGGACTAATTCTCAACCGCTTTTCAGCAGATACTAATATCATTGACCAGGTGAGTATCAGAGTTACTTCTCAGCGCAAAAATACACGCCTCAGTGAAAGCTAATCAGCATTTTAAGATAAAGCATGATTATTCTTCACAGTAGAGAATTGCCAAAATTTAAAATAAGGCCTATTTATATTCATATGAAAACATGCAAATAATTTCTAGAATAAAATAAAACCTTAGCTCAAACTAATTTGTGCATGTAGAAAGAGGATACTGAAGAATCAGCATGAGATAGAGAGAAACAGCAAAGCACAAACCAACACTGAGTTTTTTATATAGAGGTATGGTTTACATCAGTGGTGCACATCCATTCATGGTGTCAGGGAGGGACGCCAGGCCATCTCAGATGTTCTTTAATTTTTATAGACTGGCTTTTGAAACTTTAGATGGTCTGATATTTTAGGGAGTATCTTAAGAATGCCCAGTTTAGCAGTTTAGTATAAGTTGTTTGCATCTCCAGAAGTGTGTCCTAAGAATAAAAAACGTTAGACTCTTTTACATATTTTTTTTTTTGGTATCAGGAATCGAACTCGGGTCCTTGTGCTTGTGCAGCAGGCAGTGAAACCACTGAGCTAAATCCCTGGCCTAGACTCTTTTTTTAAAAAAAAGTTAATCATGGGGGCCAGGGATTTAGCTCAGTGGTTCCGCCGCCTGCCTCGCAAGCGAAAGGTCCTGAGTTCGGTCCCTGGTACCAGAAAGTAAATAAAAATTTTAAAAAGTTAATCATGGGCCGAGGATTTAGCTCAGTGGTTTCACCACCTGCTGTGCAAGCGCAAGGACCCGAATTCGATTCCCGGTACCAAAATAATAATAATAATAATAAAATTTAAAAAGTTAATCAGGGCCAGGGATTTAGCTCAATGGTTCCACTGCCTGCCTTGCAAGCACAAGGTCCTGAGTTCAATCCCTGGTACCAAAAAAAGTAAAATAAAAAAGTAAATCCCTTCAAGAGCTGAACCCTTACAATGATTGAGAAAGGAATCAATCAAGTCTAGCCCTTGCCTTTTGTGACACTCAAGAGCCACATTTGGAACACAAATTACCCTTGATTTAGACAGACTGCTCCATACATACAACAGACTAAAAAGTGTGCTGACAAGTTTGATGTTTTCATGGCACTGGTGTTAGGCCATTCTGCACCTAAAACACTTCATACAGAATACATGTTAGAAAAAGAGAGACAAAGCAGGCATCATTTAAAAGGTGATATGATTGTTTCCTAGAAAATTCAAAACAGTAAAATAAACAACTAGAAAGTGTAGAAGAGTGTCTGGATAAGATGTATTATAGGAAAATTGGTAACCATCTCTACACTGATTTAAAAACTTACCAAGAAACAAGTTTCATTTATATTAAAAAAGAAAAACTATAAAAACAGAAATAACCTAACATGAAGAAAGATGTCTAACAATGCCAGAAGTCATAAAAATTCCCTCTATATAGTAAGAATTTTTCATCCAAATATTTAAAAAATTATTTAAAATTATAATACTCCCTTTACCACAGAAAACAAATTGATCTAAAGAACAGAATGGAGAATTTTAAAACATTAGCATGTATAGAACTTTATCAAAGATGTAGCATCTCCAATCAGTAAGAAAAGGATTAAGTTTTGATAAGTGTTATTGGGACAATTAACCATTCACAAGATACACGACAAATACATATAGAATAAAGATGGCCATATAAAACTATGAAATTATAAAATATAGGTGAATAATTTTATACCCTTGGAGTGAAAAAGGTGTTTTTAAGCAAGATCAATAACTCAGAAACAATAAAGAGGCCAATGGAAATGACTACAAAAAGTTTTAAGATTTTATTGAACTAAAAGCACCAAAGGTAAGTTCAAAGTGTAAAAGATAACCAGTCAAATTAAACCATTCAAAGAATATAAAACAAGCAATTACAGAAAAATAATTTAAATGTCTTACAGTAGAGGGATAGCTAAATAATTTTTTAATGCTACACATCCATTAACAAATAGATGTATATACACAGACAAGGAAAGATTTACCATTCATATTATTTAATAAAGTAAATGGATAGCTAAGATTTATAGAATAAGGGCACTTATAAAATGCCAAGATAAATACGTATGTAAGTCATCGATGGTGTGTAAATGGATAATAGATATGCTAAACTACAGGGAGTGAGTGAAGAATTACAATGAATATTTTTGTCCACTACTTTTGTGACCAATGTTGCATTTGAGCTAAAATCTCTTTTCTTTCAAATACCTCTGGATAGCACATCCCTCCGACTCTGGAATCCCTAACCCGCTCCACGCTGCTCTGCCTGTCTGCCGTCGGGATGATCTCCTACGCCACTCCTGTGTTCCTGGTTGCTCTTGTGCCTCTTGGTGTTGCTTTTTATTTCATCCAGAAATACTTCCGAGTTGCCTCTAAGTAAGTCAAACAGCGGTCTTGTTGTATTTTCAGAAGCCTGTATACTTGATTTACTGTGAACTATTTTTGCAGTAGTGTTTTTTTAAGATAAGGTGTGGGATTTAGAAATGTAACCCATGCTTAAACCTATATCATCTTATGATTTATCTGGAGACCTACTGTAATTGTTTCGGCAATTGGTTATCTGGGCTTTACATGGCCCTCACCATACACTAGTGTATGGAGTAATCTACTGGGTTCTCAGTCCACAAATTGTGTCAAACTTTTCATTCCCTGGTTCTACTCCTGAACATGACATTGACATAACACAAAATCAAACCATCCTGATGGATAAGTGATTTCATGTTGTATTCCTAGTGGGGGGAAAGGTTAAAACATTAAATCCTTAAGATACATAGTGCAAAATAATAGAAGTAAAAAAAGGTTCAAGAGTTAAATCAATGATGACTTGAAAAGCAGATAATGTTGACGGTCTGAGAGGCTATAATTTTTAAAGACTGGAAAATTTCAGATTGGATCATTTGATACTCATTTAGGAATCCAGCCAAATAAATAAAGAGTAGCTATGAATTTTAGATTTTTCCATCAATTATAGGATTTATCATTTGCTGAAATATTGAGGAGCTAATGAAATACAGTATCCACTGTTTTAAATTTTCCAGTTTAACTTTGAAGCTGTGGTATCAATAATACAGTAAAGTTTGTTGTAGCAATCACTTTATTTCGAGAAACACTTGTTAAGCACTCTTGTGTTGCAAATAACGACCCATTTGGTAGAAATGAGGAGAGCGACATGACAAAAACCTATTCTCAAAGAAAGTTAGGCTCTTGTTAAAGTAAAGCATATAAATAATATGTGGATTAAGTGCTAAAATAAAAGGCAGATGTTGAGTTTATCCAGGAAAGGGAAAATGTGTAATATGACTTGAGCATAGAGAAGAGGAAGGAGGGCTGGGGATTTAGCTCAGTGGTTTGACCACCTGCCTCGCAAGTGCAAGGACCCGAGTTTGATCCCCAGTACCAAAAAAAAAAAAAAAAAAACAGAGAGAGGAGGAAGGAAGTTGGCAGCAGGTGAGAAGAAAAGGTAAGGGGCTATGGTTGGAAACCTGTGCAAGTACATAACATTTCATAACTTGAATAATAGTGCTGTTTCTCCCTCACAGTTACGGATCAGGGGCCACAAGCCTCAGGAATCCATGTGAAATCGAGAAAGTTTATCACCCCAGCCTCATCTTCTTCTGCTTCAGATTCAGACCAAAAGAGAAAAGCTAGCAATCAGACTCACACTTTCATTGCTTTGGATGTTTTTGCTGATGATGCCTGCATAGGGGCCAAGAAGTTCAGGCTTATTTCATGACTGTGGGCTGTTTTTTAATGTATCCTTGCTTTCTCACCACTAATATCAACCAATCCTGTCTAAATTCAACTGCAGACTCCTTTGGGCTTATTTTTGCCGTTAAAAAATTCATATTGATTGTAAAAGTTAGACAGATATTCCTAGTCTGCTACATTTATTCTGTTCATAATCAATGAGAATAATCTGTTTGCATCGAAAGTACAATAACAAGGGCATGATCACTGTTGAACAATTCATGTTGATAATGAATCAAACAACTATGCTTTTGTTCAATGGAGGAAGAGGGAAGGAAAGGGAGGAGAAAAGAGAGTACAAAGGATTAAGATTCAGTATGCATATGTACCAACTCCCTATCATGAATATATTTATTATCCATCTCAAACATGTACTGATAAAAAAAGATAATGAAGTCTTTGAAAGATAGAAAAACTGACCAAGAATCCTCACAGACAAGAGGATTCTTCTGGAAACGGAGGCTCTTCAGGATTCATCCCATGTGGAAATGTTTTAGTGGAGTGCTAGGGTGCTATGGGTCCTTTCCAGGCTGTTGTTGTCCGTAAAAGAATTAAACAGCAAATGGTGAAATGGTGTAGTGGAGTTTTGCATTTATTAAAGATATTAAAGGAAATAAAAGAAGGGAGACGAAGTGCTCTGCAGAGTGATTGCAGGCCCATTAAAGTAGGAAAGGAAATACGCTCTGCATGCAGAACGGGCCACTGAGAAAGGCAGTGGCCATGAGGCCAGTGCCTGCCATCTTTTATGCCCCAATTCTGAAGTCAGATCTCGATGCCCTATCAAACACTTGATTGATCTTATGCCGGAAGCCTTGAAGATAGCATTCTCTGGTTAGTAGCGGGCGCAGGTAAGCTGTTCTACACATGTGTCCTGAGTCTGCGTGATGGAAACATCATGCCTGCTTGCTCAGCCACTTGGCTATGTCTTAATCTCAGGCCTCAGAAAGGCTCAGCCAGTTGAACAGACTTTTCTTTTCTGATGGTGGTCCTGAGGCTCACACCCAAGACTATCTCACTGAATTATATCTTTACCACCACCCTGCCTTAAAAATGTTTATTTTGAGACAAGATCTCTCTAAATTGCCAAGGTGGAACTCAAATTTGGTATCCTCCTGCCGCAGCCTTCCAAATGCTGGGATTCCAGGTGTGTGCTGTGGCATCCTCCTAAAATACTCTCCCACGCCTCCTCTTTTTGTTCTTTTTGTGGTGCTGAGGATTGAACATGGGGCCTGTGAGCATGGTAGCTACATCCCATCCCTGAGCAGGCTATTTTTGTATACATCAAAGAGTTTAAGTAGGGAACTGAGCTGCAGGAAATGACATGCAGTTTTGAATATCTCCATTCCAAGGTCTAATGAGTGGTTAGCCCTGTGTTTGCTTCTTACAGGAATACAGGACCCAGCCCTTCTCTCTTAGGTTTCACAAAATACTGTTCCTTAGACAAAGTTGCTCCTTCCTAAGTTTTTTCTTCACAACCAGCCTTCATGTAGTAACCCTCCCTTTCATGTGTCAGATACCAACTGCCGCTTGGTTTTATCTTTAAAAATAAGAGACTATTCATGTTCCTTCATTTTTATTCTTCCCCTTTCCTGTCTTTCCCTCCCTCATTCACAGTTTTTGAAGTGAGTAAGTCTGCTTTAGAAACTCCAAACTGAAACCGGTCTGGTGATACAGGGCTGTTATCCCGGAACTCTGGGAGACTGAGACAGGAGGATAACTTCCTGCCTAACCCAGATGACTTAGTGAGACTCTGTCTCAAAGGAAAAAGTAAAAAATGATTTGGGAAAGTAGCTCAGTGCAAAAGCCATAGGTTCAATCCCAGTTTGAAAAAATAAATAAAAAACAAAAACTTCACACCGCAAAGCCTTTGCATTTGTTCGTGGGCCAAGAATGACAACTGATCGCTGAGGATTGCGGACCAGTATTTATCAGTTAACCTGACTCTTTCAGGTGAACGCTGATGTTCCTTCTCTAATTCCTCAACCCCAGAGACCTAGAAAAGAGCAGAAAAGTGATAGAAAAGGAAAAGAAGAAATGATTTGAAAAAAGTGGTCCCACTCCTGTCTTCTAAAAATGCTAGCTTGTAAGATTTAAAGAAAATTTATCATGATTCCAAATCATCATGAAAAGGGTCAGATTCAGGCATTTCCGCTCATTGAGTACTTTATATATATATATAAAGTATACATATATACATATGTGTGTGTTATGTGCATGCACACAAACACACGTATACAGGTATATATGTACATACGTATAGTTCTTTGGAGGGGTTGTGAATGGAAGTTCCATGAAGGCAGGGATTTAACTCATTGTGTCCAAAGCCAGTCTCATTATTGTTTCTCTCCTGACTATCTCCCTCTGTGTCCCCCACCCTGGTAAGTAGAACTATGATTTCTTTTTCTCCCTGCGGTGCTGAGGATTGAACCCAGGGCCACACATGTGCTAGGCAAGTGCTATGCCACTGACTTCCACTCTCAACTCAACACTTTAGTTTTTGAAAGTCTGTGAAACTGAAAACAGCTAAGCCATATTTGACTCCCCTTTTATTTACTCTTCTATAACTAATTGATCATTGCAGCTTATAGGCTACCCATAGTAGACTATCTCGAAATCCATACTCCTCCCTTATTTTAAATGTTATCACTAATTCAGAACTATAAACACATTCCTACATAGGCTATTATAACTATTCTCTACAACACCATTCTCTTTGATCCTATCTGTTGTCTCCCAAGTTATGTCAATGAAGCACAGCTTTGATTATTTTATTTCTAGTCTCCAGTGATTTTTTTCCCCAGCCCATTAAGAATACTCTACAGGCCAGTACCATGCTTAGAAAGACACATCTTTTATAGAAACATTTCCTGCCCCTACAGGATTCTGGATCCCTGCCCAGATTGAACTTGCCAAGTTCTTCAAACTGCTGTGCATTTTCCCTTCTTATTCCACTAGCTAAAATTCACTTCTGGTCTATTTCTTCGAAGTCCTCATCATGTTTATGGTTTGGCCTAAATTTCACCTGCCCAAATGCTACAAATTCCCTAGTATGAATTAACTGCCCAGTCCCTGTGTCCATGTAGCAATTTACCTTAGCGGATACACAAAGCTGAGAGTTTCATAAAACACTCTAGGTTCAGCCTACAGCTGTGTTCATTATGTACCCATCTTTTTCTTCCTCTTTAGAATATAAGCTGTTGAAGTTTTTGTTAATGGAGTACTAGGGGAAAATAGTTATGATAACAAATACAAATCCAATGTCCAAATAACCCTGATTTAGAGTGAACAGGGTGGTCTTTGAGCCTGGATGCATGGAAGCCTATTTTTGCCCTTCTCTCTGTACTAGGGACCTCCAGGAACTTGATGATAGTACCCAGCTCCCTCTGCTTTGCCATTTCTCAGAAACAGCTGAGGGACTCACCACCATCCGGGCCTTCAGGTGAGTGAACATGCTTTCATATTGCTGGTTAGGCCATTACATCATCAGCAAATGCTTATCAACAAACATTAGGTAATTGCTACCAGTATTTGGATGGCCACCATGTGCCTGACAGCGAACTAAAGCAGGACTAAGAAAAATGTGGTATAAATGATTGGAGCCAGAGTTTGATTTTTTGAAATTTTAAGAAGAATAAAGAAAGGAAGAAGAAACATATTGGAAAGGTATTAGCTGTGTGACTTGGACAAGGATTGTTAATTCCCTGGCCTGTTTCCTCATCTATGAAATGAGGAAATCAATGTTGGTTCAATCCAACAATCCAATAATTATTGGATTATTTATGCAGTGCATGTAAACCATTAACACCATTGACTATTGAAGAAGCATCCAATAAATAAAGCTAAACTCAATGTATAAATAAATTGTCATCATAATCCTAAAAATGCTGGTAAACAGAGCAATAATCTAAGCTTCTGATGAAGAATGTCTACTTTTCTCTCAAAATATTACCTAGCCCCATTGTCTGGTTCAAATTAGATCAGAGAAGAAGGTGGAATTACTCATTTGGTCTAGAAAATTGACATTTTAAAGTGCTGCATCTTTCTACAACACTAATTGGAAATATATATTGATTTCAGTGGGGGATTTTTTTTAACCTAAGAAATGTCTTTTAAAATGTAGAATTGGGTCACAGAGTAGAATACATAACTATCCACACTATGTATCAAGGAATTTCTACCTAAGTCTAGTAAATGTCATCATGCAGTGTTCCTACTTTCTCAGTGATGTATTTTCCCATTATGATGTGCAATGCTTTTTTTGAGAATGTAGAAACAATTTATTGCTATTGATATAGATTATTAACATAAGATTTATACTCAATTAGTAGCCAGCAATAATCCTTGTTAAATACATCATATTAAAGATTACTTTTTTGACAAACAAGTTCTTTCAAGTTAATTTATTTAAGTACTATTTATTTGAATATTAAACTTATGCCAAGTACTGCTCTTGCTGTAGAAAAAGGTTGACATGGCATGACCTTTCGTGCACTCTTTTCCACCACTGGCATGTCATCCTATTTATTTTCCTTGTGGTGTTTATCTGAAAATTATTTTTAAAATTGATTATATGGTTATTATCCACTCCTCTGACTAGAATGCAAGCTCGGTAAGAGCAAGCCTTCCCCTCCCAACGTAAGTAAAAAACCTGCACCTGCATAAGTGCTTAAGAAACTAATATGACTGACTAGTGAGCATGGGCACCGTCCTAAGGGGCTCACAGCCTAGTAGGAAAGAATGCCTAAGGGAAAAAAAGCAATACAGGAGATATGTAATCTACAGAAGATATGGAAGATGCATAATCTAATATGTCTCCCACAAGAAACAAGTCAGTCAGAGAGCACGACAGCACCTACTACAGCATAGGCATCTTAGACCTTATTCTTTCCATGTTGTGGGGTCACTGTCTCGTCACTTTCTCATCACTGGAACACAGTACCAGACACCCACAACTTAAAGGAGGACAGTGTTACTTTTTAAAAAGAGAATTCAGTCCATTGTCAGCTGGCTTCAAGGCATGAAGGACATGGTGGAAGGATCTAAATGAGGAAAGCTGCTAACCTTATGGAGAGAGTGGAGGGAGGAGCTGGGGAGGGAGATATAAACTTTCAGGTTATCCCACCAGCAGGCCACCTCTTCCAACCAGACCCCACCTCCTACCAGCACATTCAGCTCCGAACTCTTCAGTGGACTGGTCCACAGATGAATATAGCACCCGCACGATCCAGTTACTTTTCAGAAACCTCATCTTTGAACATAAAAGCCTTTTGGGGGATGTTCTAGATATAAACCATAACACACTGAAGGATTTTAACAGGAAGATGTTAGGGTTGTGTTTATTCAGTAACCCCGATTTACTATGAAGAATGAATTAGGAATGGTTTAGGGACAAAGGCAGGAAGATGCCAAGAAGCTATTGCAAGTAGTCCAGTGAGAGATGGCGAAGCTGCCTAAAGCAGGTACTCAGGATTTAGAAGGAAAGTGCAGGTTTTAGAAACAGAACTATCTGGGAAGTGGAACCAATGAGATTTAGGGACTGAGTGTGAGGTGTAAGGTTGAAGGGAAAATTGAAAATGATTCTGCCTAGATTTTCATGAGTAAGTAGTTTTCCAAGTTGCCAAATTGAAGGTATTGTGAAGGAGTGAGGAAGGAGAGGATGAATTTGGCTATGAGCAAGCAGGTGGGGCTGCGGATGTGACACACAGCTGGAAATTTTTGTGGTCAGTGGCATATGTAAATCTGGTGTTTAGGAGATATCTCAAGACAAAAGATAACAGGTTTGGGTATCATCTTCTTAACAGATATTATTTAAAGTTTTGGGTATGGATTTGATTGTCAGAGGAGTATGTGTTGACTAAGAAAAGCTCAATTAAAATCTTCAGACCACCAACACTTAAGGAACGGTGGACAAAAAGATCTCATGGAAAATACAGTCTGTCAAACAATTAATATGAGGCTGGCCCTCAGGTTCCTGCTTCAGAGTGAGGCAGACTTGACCTATTCCTCCCAAGCTCCTTTTATCTTTGGCTACCCAGTGCTTCTCTCATTGCTGGGATATCAGCCTGTAGTTATCATCTGCCATGGAAAGCCTTCCCTGGAATCAGAATGTATATTACATGCCTTCTTAGATCTCCATGGTACCTTATCACACTGTACCAAAGCATCTGTTTCTGTGTTTATATTGCTCTACATGATTGGGAGCTCCTTAAGAACTAGCAATATGTCTTTTATTTTTATCTTCAGACTATTACTATGAGATTCAGCACATAGTAGATGCTTAAATGTTATATGAATAAATTAAAGAGCACCATTACTTTCTGTTGATATCATCATGCCTCTTTACTTCAACTTCTCCCGTCCACTTCCAGCCCTCTTCGCTCAGGCTTGAACTTCCTTTTCTAGTCAACATCCTCAAGAAGGGAATGAGCCAGTCTCATCCCTTGTCATGGCTTCAGTTTTCCAACTACCTGTCCTTTTGCAAGCCTCCTGATCCTGGCCAACCCCGACACAGGCCAGGATGGTGCTGTCAAATCCCAACTAACACCTCTCTAAACCTTAGCAGCTCATCAGCTGCTGTAGGAGGCTCAGCCCTGAACAGAACAACTGTCCTTTGAGTGAGAAGTCAGTCCTGGTAAAGATCTAATTCACTGACTCTTCCTTTCATGTTCCTTATAGACCTAGATAGGAGAGGCCACCATCCAAGAACTTTGCCACCAGAGGCACTTAAGTGGTCGGCTGAAATATTTTTTAGCCCTTCGTCCAAATGACGCCTAATGAGCAAACATTCACCTCTAATAGCTCTGCCCAGGTCAAGGACAAATCTAGAAGGTCTGACTGTTGTGCTTATATTTGATCCATGTGTACCTGAGGTAACATTTTTGTAATGGACCTTAATGCAGACTTGTCTTCTTCACAAGACTACAGTGATATAATAGGACCAAGTGTTATCATTTAGCAACTTAGACTACATCGTTCTAGCAGGGGGAAGGAATCCAGATCCCTTAATAAAATAAGTCAACTAATAGTAGGTAAAGAATCAAGATAGTGGTAGGAGTTAGAGTTTAATCATCTGAAATTTGAGCAATAAAAAAGTTAAAAATATACTAATTGTGTGACTAATTGTGTTATTAATTGTGTCCTTAGACAAGGACAGAGTGCCAATGAAGTTAAACAAGGGAGTATTTTAAGAAGGAATTGAAAGGCCAATGGTGGTTAAAGGAGAAAAGAAGAATTAAAGGGAACTGAAAGGGCTTCTTGGATATGAAAACCGTAAAGTGATTGGTAGCCTTAACAAAAACCAAAAATGATAAAGTGGAAGAGGATTGAAGTCAGAATTCAGAGGTTTGAAGAATACATTGCGAATCAGAACATGAAGGTGGCAAGCAAGGGAAGGATACTCTTTCAAGAAGTATCACTGGGGTAGTAAGGGCCATTAAAGGAAGCTTTGACTGTCTTCGTACTTTTAATAAGGTAATGAGCTAGACATTTCTACAGGGGAAAGTGAAGAAGAGGAGAAAAAGGAGGGATGGGACAATTGATGGTGCAAATCTTCCGATCTGGCAGGCAGGCTTATGTCCAAGTGCCTAAGCGGAGGGACCAGCTCAACCTGAACAGGATGTGGTCCAGAGATTTTCTATGAAGATAAAGAGGAATATAAATGGGTTTCAGGCAAACATGGTGGAGCAGCAGGAAGTTGATGAGGTCAATCTGCAAGAGTCTTCATTTTTTTTCCTTGAGGGACAAAGTGAGGTCATCTGAGAGTGCTGTGGACAAAAATCAGTAAAGGCATCTTGAAGGAATTTTGGGAGATTTAGGATTAAAAAGAGAAATGACCAAGAGTCAAGGTTCAATTTGTACTAGACACACAAGCGGAATTTAGCATTACTATTGCTAATTTTACACTGAAAAAAATAGGTAGCTGTGAGAACAAAATCATATTAACCTTCCATGCTTGAACTACAGTTGAAAGAAACAAAGACAACCCAAGTTCTACCTAGAAGTATTCTGCTTATTTCTAGACCCAGATTCAGATCTTGTAGAGTTCATTTAAAAAGCAGATATTAAGTACCACAAAAACCACAAAGAGTCTTGAAAATGTGGGGATGGCCCTCCTGCCATAGAGACGATTCTAGAATCTAATTTTTTTGCTTAAATTCTTTTATTGGTACATTTTAGGTACACAATACATTTACATTTATCGTTGGGTGCTTGTACTTGTACACGATGTATCTTGGTTCTTATTTTTTCCCTATTCCCTGTCCTCCCTTTACCCCCTCCACCCTTCCCTATTAATAAAGACTTTGTTTCCATTTTTTCCTTTTCTCATAATTTTCCTTTCCCCTCCCCCTCCCACTTCCTCTACCTCTTTGGACCTTTTCTTCCTATTTCAAATTATCAATTATTCATTTTAATTATTTTAATTCTTATTTACACTTTCAGTTTCTCACACTGATTCTAGAATCTTTATGTTTAGTATTTGTAGGCAAGAATCAAACATACTTTTTTCCATCCATCTGTTCCTTTCTTTCCAGCTCTCCGGGTCCCCAGAGTCCAGAGCTCCTTTGGAAAGTTTATATTTACTGATTAGGCTGTTTTTCTTCCCCTGCTTTTAGGGTTCGTGGTGTACTCATATGAACAATGAACTCCCTCAAGTAGTTTACCACGAAAGTATCACAGTTAAATTAGACTGAGATTTCAGTGACCTTTCTTTCTTTCTTTCCTTTATTTTTGTCTGACAGAATAAATGTCCAAGAATGTTCAGAAGATGAGCTGGATGTGGATGAAAAGATACAGACTGAGTGTGTCAAACTTTCCATTAGGAAAACAGAAGGTTTCTTGCCAACTAGAAACACACAGAAAGAATGTTCATTTTACCCCTCCCCTCTCAGTGCTGCCTCAGATTGTCTCCAGCTCCATTTACAAGCCCTTTCAGAGCATATCTGAAAAAATACTGCACAGTTAAAGGGAAGGGAACAAGAGTCCCAGACAAAACACTGTCAAAATCAAGTGTTTGATACTCATCTCGAATGAGGTCCATAGGCTTTGCTCCAGTTGGCCACATCTTGTCTATCACCTCCATCCACTGGGGAGAGAAACTGTCTCAGTCTCCCTGAACATGCTCAGCTTTCTCATTTCCATGTGTTTGCTCCTGTTGTCCCTGCTACTTAGAATGCCATGTTCTCCTGACAAATTCAGCTTATCCCTACACTCAGATCATCTTTCCTGTCCTTTGAAAAACCTCGCTTAACCTTCCGCTCTCCTCTTCTTGCAGCCTATTTCTTATCATTCAGACCCTCTGATCAGTGCAAATCATCACCTTCCTGTGTGATTGAGTGGCATGTTGTGCACAAGGATCATTACACTATTTTATACCATACCCACTTGTTCATACTGGGTTTATATCCTGCACTAGATAATGGCCTCCTCCAGGAAAGAGAATTTGTCTTGTTCATGTGCATATCCTTAGCCAAGCATAATGATTCACTTACAGTTGATGTTTGCTAAGTGTTTCTGAATAAATGGACGAAAATCTACCTAGCACGTAGCTAACAGGTGCAGAAAGAATGAACCTATTTACAGTTCACGTCCACTATCACAGTAACTCCTAATCACAGTATGAAATCCCTTGCTTTTTCACTATATTTATCCCTAAAAGGCCCATCTAGAGGTTAAGTGTGTCCTCAGGATGGCTTAGTCATGCACCAGTGTGGTGTCCTTGAGCACAGGTCCTCCTGTGGATGGCTTTTAGGTCAAGGCTACGTAACTCAAAGTGAAGTCATTATTTGGCTCTGATTACTGAATCCTTTGATTATTATAGATTAGATGTTGCTGTCTGACTGAATTATCTATCTGGCTTGGCATATTGGAATAACCAGATTGATTGGAGAGATATCAAATATCTGCTTTATAGTGGCTTGTATGGATTGCTTCAGTAGGCCAAGTGAACACTCCACCCACAACTTCATTCTTTGATACAAATGATGGTTTATTAAAAAGCTTTGCAATTTTACTTGAACATGAGGGGAGGAGTGGGGTGCTCTTATCAGACAGGAATCATTACCCAGTTGTCACATGAAATTTGGCTCTTCCTTGCAAAATAAGCCATAGATGGGTTATACAAGACAAGCCATGATTCCAGTGAATGAGTAAACCACATTTGATTTGGCATTTTCCCAGCTTTCAAGTCAGTTACTTTCCAACTTTCCATTGTTTCTGTTATTCAGGGAAAAATAATTGCAAAAGAAAAGAGACTAATTTTGTAATTTAGAATAGTTTTTTTTTACAATGTAGCATGAGTTTCTGAGATAGTACCTCACATGTTCAAATAGGCAATTTCATTTATAAAATAGGATATACAGAATTTGGTATGATTATGTTGACTATCAAGAATGATACTCAACTTACGCTATCAGGGATCTATATCCAAACTGTGTGTCTCATGGATCCTCTTCAAAACCACAGACCAAGGTCATTTTTATAAAATGATCATCCTTACAAACAGCTCAAAATGTTGATATGTATATATCTTATCTAACAAGAACATTTACCATCTGCGAGGCTTCCTGGCCTCCTCTTCTTGCCACCCCATTTTCCTTCTTTGGTTCCCAGAAACACCAGGCCACACAGAATTTTTAAAGTATATATTTACCTATTACAAATGCATAGTTTACTATCTTCTTCTTACTCACCATTTCTCACTCAACTCTTTTTTTTGGGGGGGGGGGGATCGAACTCAGGACCTCACACTTGCCAAGCAGGCATTGTGCTGCTGAGCTGCATTCCTGGCCCTCACCCAACTCTTAATCATGTCATTTGGAAATGTAAAATAAATGTCCTTAAAAGAAAGTAAAATGTATTGCATTTCCCTACAACTCGCTGTGGTCTTTGTGGGACCCTTGCAACATAGGTCATGCTTTGTTTTCAAGGCCAAAATAATTAGGTGGAAATTTATGAAGCGGTCTTTAATAAAAATTTGTCATCAGAAGGACTCCTTTTCCTAGTAGGGGTGTGAAAGAGGAGCACACACCCGACCTCACCATGTTTATTAGCACTGCTTGGAGCACCAGCAGCTGGTCTTTATTTTTGAAGTAGGAGTCTAGTTACTGGTCATCCCACCTCATCACCTCGTCACTTTGTTGAGTAAATTGTGTAGTAGTAAGTGGGACTGGTTTTTATTACTTCTCCTGTTGTGTAGCTAACACCATAATATTTTTGTTTTCTGCAGGCATGAAACCAGATTTAAGCAACGTATGCTGGAACTGACAGACACAAACAACATTGCCTACTTATTTCTCTCAGCTGCCAACAGATGGCTAGAGGTCAGGACGGTACGTTCATTTCATGATTTCGAAATGGAAACCAAACAGAGAAGAGGCATGATGTAGAGGGAGACAGTTGTAAAAATTAGTCTTCCACTGAGGTCAGCCCTACCCTCCTCACGTTTTCTGAACTTTGAAATAGCTCAGGTTTGTTTATGTTACAGATGAATTTGTCATAATGTTTTAACTAATGGCAAGACAAATAGCCCCCAAAGCAAAAATTCATTCTGTGTTCATTATAGGCTCCAGACTACATAAGTTAATGGATTGGCAAATATTTATATAGCATCCATTTTTTTAAAGAGCAAATTTGACGAGTGACCAGCTGCACTCATTTCCTTCACTGAGCTGGGCGGGACTGGAAGACACAGGAACTTTCTATGTTTTAGGCCAGGGGAGCATCATGTTAACACACATGTAAAAACTGCAATTAATTGTTTATTGCTTTCTTTAGTCATGGATGATGTGAAAGAATAAGCATAAGCTCTGGAATTGCCCAGAGTTGCTCTAGCAAACTAATTTGAGTCCCAGATCCTCATCAATAGAATAAAAATAAGAATATATGCTTCATGGAGGTATTGGGATTAAAAAAATATATATAAATGTCCTACTATGCTGACTGGCAAATGCATTCAAATATGTCTTTCAAAAGGATGGATGAATGAATAAATGAATGGAAGTACTACCTGTCCTGGTAAGTGGTTTGTAAGCTAACCACCTGGAGTGTGAAATAAGAGAAAAATGTGATAGAAATTCTAGAAAGAAAAAAATAGATTTAGCACCATGGTCTGTAAGATCTGTAGCATGAATAAGCTACTCTGATGGTAATAATGAATTGACTGTAATTTTTTATATGGATGCCTGTCTGTTGTATACCATTGGAAGAACCTTGTTCAGACCATCATGTCCAGGGTTTCTTTTAAAATTCAACAACCCAAGGGCAGATGATAAAGGGAATTTGATGGGGTTGAAATGGAGGTGCTCAAGTTAAAATCTGAGTAGTTGATTGGTAGATATCAATTGACTTGGAATCTTGGACATCCTGGGCACTTTGGTTATCATGATTTCTCACAGGCTTATAAAGATTCCCCCGTTATATTAGTTGGTATGTAGAAATTATTCAGTGACATAACACAATTATATTTCACAAGTTTTTGAAAGAACCATTCATTGGTTATTGAAAAGAAACTCCTTCTATGCAACTCTGAGGGTTGAATGAGGCAGGGTAGAGTTTCTCAGGAACTACAGATAACATAAAGGCAAATGAAGTTTACTGAAGATTTATAACACAACTAAAACTTTTTTCCTAGACTCTATCCAGAGCACAGAGCCTTTATTTAAACTTCTGTTTATTGTTTGAGTCCTTTTAATATTGGTGTTTTTCTTTAAGGGAAAAATATGTGAATAATAGAATTAATGATGAGATAGTTTGATGAAAGACTGTTCTAGTATCACAAGAGAAATGGTGTAGATATCCCAGCATCTGGTTTACCTAAGCTTGAAGAACAAGAATATTTTTCAGGGGGCAAGTGCGTTTACTTTGGATATGAGGTGGGTGTCTCACCAGCACTCCTGTTTCTGTGCTTTAGCACTTCCTACAGTCAGGTTCATGGACAAGTGCTGAACCAGAATCTTCAAGCAAACCATATGTTCAGTTCTCATAGCCAAAAGATGAGATATTAGAGTCTGCCAAGAAAGGGAAGGTCCGGACAAGTGAAAAAGAAACAGCAGCCAAACTCAAAGCAGTTGAGGTTGAATAATGCTTTAATTCCCACATGAAAAAGCAGTTGAACCTACCTGAACATAAAAGAATTCTAGTTTCATCTGCAGAAAGCTAAAGACAAAACTGGCATTTTACACATGAAGGGCAGCATCTCTCATTCATTGCGTTACTTTATAACACATTTGTTACTATGTCTTCTCTTTGCTTGCAGTGTATTACAATCCTTCCAACGTTTGCTAAAGTAGTTTCATTACTAGAACTCTCCTTTAAAAACTAATACAAAAAATTAGGGATTGTTCATTCCCCAATTTGGACACCCCCCCCAAATTAAAGTATCTTTTCCTTCTGTTTCTGACAGTTAAAGGTAAATTTTGGTACAAAACTTTCATTGATTTATTGCAACATTCTAGACATATCTGCTGACAAGTCAAGTAAAGGTCTTTTGTGTATGATGTGCTGCCATTTATTGTGCTAACGTGTCAATAAGTTGATGTCAATATGTACACGGATCTACATACAGACACATATACCCCATTTGACAATCCCAGAATCTGAACATCAGACCGGTTGGGTTCACTCTCATTCTCTTCTGAGTACATTGAGAGTTTTCATTAGAACCAAGTATATTTACATATAAATGCTATAATCCAAGAACATGTGCCACCGTAAGAGTGTCAAATAAATTTAAGTAGATGATTTCTATTGGGAAATAATCTTTTCTCCCAATCACACACATACCCGTGACCTCATCACTGCCGTGCTTCTGTGGATATGTCTGCATCACTCGATACATGATTTCAGTTTAAAATAACTGGCTCTTGTGTCAGAAATATGCATGTTGAGATATAGGACCGTGGAGACTAGGGTGGGAACGATTTCTGAAACCCCACAACTGGACATACTTTGCTTTGTAAGTCATTTGAAAAAAATAATAATATAAACTGCCATTTCATCCCTTAACCCCTTCCTTTCCTTATTGTTTGCCATATTGAGTAAATTAAAATAAATACATGCTTATAGCAAGTATTCCTAGGTTCCCAGGACAGAAACACAATTAAAATGGTACAAGGAAGATCACTGTGTTAAGCATAAATTGGAAGAAATGAACAGGATTTGTTGGAGCAGATTTGGGGAGTTCAGAAAGTCTAGTTCAGGAACGCAGAGCCTTAATGGAAAAGGGAGAAAACTTGATTTTATAGCTTCCTGCGGTTATTTTCCCCTTTCTTTTCTCTTCATCCCCAGTTCTAGCTTTCTGAAGGAATGCCATTGCTGTTGACAGTAAATCCCAAGAGAAAGGAAGGCAGGGAAACCAGAGCAAAACCAGTCTGCTGAATTTGGGGTCTCTGGGCCCCATCCAGTTTTTGTTGGTTATCATTTTTTGTTATTGTTTTACAACTACATACCTCTTGCTTCTTTTCCCATTCATGTCATGTAAGTGTCAAGACAATCACGGAGTATTCTTTCTCTGGGAAAAGAATTCTCCCCACGGAATTCAATCTTGCCTACAATATTCATTTCATATTCATTTTGAATTGGAAAAAATAAAGGCCATACCACACATTAGAAAAGGATAAGAGTCTAAAAGAATAAAATGGTTTGGCTGGTAGAAAGGATCTTGGCTGTGGCCACCCGGGTTGCTTTGGCAACAGAGGGGACTATTTTCCCTGTGGGTGCCAAGTGAAGTGGGCCATGATCATGTGCGATGTGTCCCTGCAGCCTAACCTTTGAGCGCTGCTTATGTTCTTCAGTTCGACTCAGCGCTCTCTCTTCATCCCTCTGCACTAAACAGTTCCAGTTCTTTGGCATCAGTGTTTCCATTTGCAAAAATTGTGTAACTCTATCTACAGACTGTCTTTCCAAGGCTTTGTCTCAGTGTGTGGTGAGAGGATAAAAGAAATTTCACATGGGGAAGCCAAAAGAAAAAGAATAAGAGAGAGGACAGAGGAGAGAGAGAGGGAGAGGGAGGGAGAGAAAGAGAGAGAGAGAGAGAGAGAGAGCAAGAGAGCTTTAGAGTCAACATGTTAATGTGAAAATAGTCTTCAGGATGAGTTTGCACAAGAGTCGGCTTTGTGAAACATCACAGAGTCTTTTTGTGTGTTCACAACTCCACCATAGACAGGTGGACAATGATCTTACCCTTAGGAGGCCCTGGTATAATATTTTTCCCAATACCCAGTTGGACTCTAGACAGGTACTCCTGAGGGAGACTTGGAGGGAGGGGATCATGTGTTTCTCAGTTGCTGTCAACTGTGTACAAATCTGTTTTATAGACATTTCACATTTTCATTGTAATCTCACATATAGATGTCATTGTATCTCTAGAAATCTTACAGGAAGCTTCTCTTTTTACACGGGAATTAAAGGCTTCTCTTTTTGGAAGGTGTTATGGCTGTGTCTGATGCCCCCCAAAGCCTCATGCAGACTTAGTTGGGGCTTTTCAGAGGTGGCTGGATCTAGAGTGTGTGATGCTAGAATTGATGCATGGTGCTGTGCTAGGCTCAAGGGCACTAGGATTGAAGGTGTGAGTGCTGCCCACCCTAAGTAGCCTGGGTAAGATAAAAGGGGCAGCCAGACACTGAAGGTCCCTGGTTGCTCTGCTGCCTTCTTTCTGCCACTCCACCCTGCCTTTAAGCCAGCCGATGACAGACTGAAACCTCTATGAACTGTGAGCTAAATAAACCTTTCCTTTGGGTGTCAAGTATTTTGTCAGCAATGAGAAAAGTAACTAAGAAAGGGGGAGTATTGGAGTCATAAAATCAATAGAAGTTGTAATTAAAACTAGTTGTTTTAAAGTTGTAATTAAAATGTCCTATGATTGGGCTCTCTTTTGAGGATGGATAATTAATATACTTAGGATTATTTTCCAAACTGAAACTTTCATTCCACTGTATCATTTTGACAGATGTTTGTTGCTGAATAGATCAGGTAGGATGATGTGTGAGGCCTTAGCAGCAGAAGTGCTTTTAGTGATCTGCCCTCAGTGTGCGTTATTCAGACCATCAGCTTATCCTTTCTTTATTTCCTTTAAGCCATGATTTCATATATTTCTAAAGAAATGGGAAGAGGTTGAAAAACCAAGTGGTCACTTTGGTGTTCATTAAATTTGTTAACTTTAACAGTAAAGGAAGCAGAAAATGGGGAGCTGATAAAAGCTTTTATAGTGTACTAGGAGCCCCTAAAACATTACTGGAAAACTCTGCAGTAGGATCCAGTCTATGACACAGGCCTGAGGGAAAAAAAACCCTAAAAGACAAAACTAAGAGAGACAAAAAGTGGGGCAATGGGATGACCAATGATGGTGCAACCGACAAAGGTGCTGGCCAGTCCAAGCCGCTGATTTTTATTGGTAATCAATTGGGGTAAAGGTGAGCTACATGCATGGGTGCACAGATGTGCTGTTTCTATGGAGATTAATGTAAGCAAGGCTCATAAAAGACAAGACAAAGCATTCTCAAATTAGGAACAGAACAGACAAAATATGTGGTTGTAATTAAAACATTGTCCTTCTAGTAAGAAGGTTTTAGTTGTGGGAATAGAATTTGGGTGCAAGTTACTCTGACCTCGGCATTATACTGCAGCCAGACTCACTTCTATAAACAAGCCAATTGTGGTGTTAACTCTTCATAGCCTATACTGCTTTGGGGATAATTAATATTGCAGTCTCCTGCAATAGTGTCTTTTTTTTTCTATACTACTGTATCTTTTAAAGAAAATTAATTGGAGTTTAGTGATTTCATTATGAAATTTCTTATTAAACATTGTGCACAAAGAACCTTTGTCCCTTATGCAGATCAAGATAAAATTCTGATCAAATGTCTCCTCAGATTTCCAAATCCTTAGAAAACACATTTTTGAACAGTGATAGTAACCCAGAAATGAGCCAGAAACTATCAAGTTAGTATATTAAAAGACAATGGGAATAGCACCTTCTAAAAGAACAGTACAAAAGACTATTGTTATAATAAATAACTTTGCTATAGACACTAACCTATAGATATATTGGCTTTCAAGCTACAATAGCTATTTGAATTTAGTAGATTGTAGATTTTGAAATTGGGCTCAAGTCTTAAAAATTTCACTGTCAAATATGCCTCAAAAACCTGTACCTCTTTCTGCTGAAGTCCCCAAAACATTATCTCCATAACATTATCTTTACATGTGAAATTTAGGCATGTGTTAATTACTGGACTAATAATACAGCCTAACAATCATATCAGAAATGTTATGAGTCATTTTGAAAATATTAGCCATATGAAAGAGGCTCAGGAAGTATATACTGACTACAATTCATTGATCAGCCTTCTCCCTCTATTTCCTCCGCTACTTTCTCTTCTCTTGCAGCTCTTTTACCAAGATAAGACTACGTGTTACTATGTTACTATGTGTTGAAATTGTCATTTTTAATTCAGTAAAAGAAACTTAAAATTGTCATCTAGTTGAATGTACTATTTAATTCTACGTAGTACATGAATCCAGGAGTCCAAGACAGAATGAGAAAGTTTCTGGAATAAAGTAAATGAGTGGGGGGGGGGGCTAAATGAATAATGTTTTATATTTCCTTTATTATATTTATATTAAGCCTACTGCTTAATTTTTATTTATTTAGACTCAATGATTATTTTGTTGCTTCAGTATCTCAGATATGGACTTATTCTATTCTAGATTTATTCTGACCTGCTCTTGTAAAGAACAGCAATTTCACTACTGTGAGATTTGTGTTATGAGCTCCTCCCCCACTGAATAGTAAATAAATAGTGAATAGTAAATAAATAGTAAAGTAAAAATATTAATTTGAAAATGGATAATGGAACTCATGGTTTATATCTTAGTTACTTTCCCATCACTAGGACAGAATATCCAACACCCACCACGTAAAGGAGGAAAGGTTTATTTTGGCTCACTGTGTGAGTCTGTGTTCAGCTGGCTGCAAGACAGAAACAGCGCGGCAGAGGGGCATAGTGGAGGAAAAATTGCTCAACCCATGGTGTCCCAGAAGGAGACGGAGGAGGAGCTAGGAGAGAGATGCACCCTTCCAGGTCATGCCCTAGTGACCTGTCACTTCAGACCAGCCTCCACCTCCTAACAGCACACTCAGCTACGGAACTCATCCACGGATGAAGTGGGTTTCACTCTTGACAAGCAGAAGACCAAGCCAGGGTTGTGGCTCAGTGGCTGGACTCTTACCTAGCATGTGCAAGGCAGTAGGGTTGATTTCTAGCTCTACAAAAGAACAAAAAGAGTGATCAAAGACCCCCTAATACTCATGCTTGGATAAAAGTTTGTAGGAGACTAATATCACAGTTCTAAGCAGTGAACAAAAAAGGTCATAAAACCTAGTATTAGAATTTTAACTTTATCAAATATGGTTCTTTGTAGTATCTTTCCATGTGTAACTTTTAAAATATGGAAAATAACTTGGTAGGGAATCAGAAATCTTAAAAGCAATGTCAGTTGAAATCCTAATTTAGAAGATATTTAACTCATAGAAAAACTTAGTTCATGTTTTATGAAGCAGTGAATTTATCCATTTATTCCTTAAAGAATTAGTGAACTTTTGCAATGCTCTTAGCATTATTCTTCTAGCTGGAGATGATAATGGCTAATATTTGTCCTTATGAAATTTAGGTACCATTGAAGATAAATAAGGAACATTTAAGCAAATAAGATAACTTCCTATATGTCTTTCTGTGCTTTCTGTGAGGGGGAAAAAAATCTCCAAAAACAAACAAAAAAACAAGACAATGGAATAGAGAACAGTTTCAGGGTTGGGGCTAGGGGCCACGAAAGGATAGCTTTTCTAAGGAGATGATATATGAGTTGACCCCTAACCCATGAGAAGGAGCTAGGTGTCAGAGAGCCAGGTGTGCACAAACATTTCAAGCAATCACTAGAGTTCCTCCTGAATAGAAAAGCAGCCAATGTGGTTGCAGCAGAATGAAGGAGTAGGAAAGGAATCTCAGATAAGGTCAGAATAGGCAGGGTGTAGAATTCACACTTTAAATCATATAAAGCCTTGAAATGCATCAGAGTTTGAATTTATTATGGGTGCAATAAGAAAGCATTGAGAATTCTAAACAGGGAAATTATATGCCTTGACCTAAACTTTTAAAAGAATGTGTGAATGAATGCATAAGGGATTTCTTCCCAAAGAAGTCAATAGGCAGGAACCAGAGAATAGAAGTTAATAAAAGAAGTGCCTTGTAAAACCTTTAATGTAGACAGTACCCTTAGAAATTTCTCAATAGGTGAATGAAACATTTTGTTCATATACTACCAGGAACACTTTGCTGGAAGTATCCTCCAGTAGTAATTTACTTTCTGCAACTTATTATCAAAACTCTTTATGAGCCTTTTGTAAAGAAAAGATAATATGGAAATAACAAATGTATAACATAATTTTGTAAGACCAATACCTAAGAAAGTTGGAAAATGAGAAAGGTAGAAGTTGTTAGGAAATAAACAGATGTACCGTGTCTTTCAATGGAGTCTAAATTGGCCTCTATAAGTTTTTAAAATTTTGCAAAAGAGTTTATCATTGGATCATGGAAAATTTAGATACTCAGTTACATGTGCATTCTTCTAATTTATGAATAAATGTAACCTTTATTCCCATTTATATGAAACCTACAGATCTGCTGTCCCACAGACTTTGAGCACAGATAGTTGACAAAAAGGCTAGATATAGATCCCAACAAATTAATCAGAGGCACATTTCTACAAGGGCCTTGTGATAGCACACAGGGAGCTGTCAAAATCCTGCCATAAGCTCACATGAAATCTATGTTAGAAAATCAGGTTCAAAAAGAATTGCATTCTTGGCAGCATAATGCGATATAAATTAAAAAGAAAAAAAAGAGTAAACCCAATATGTGATCCTGGTTGTGATACCAATTGCAGCTTAACTTCTGGTAAGGTATTTAACTTCTGAACCAGTATCTTCTTGTATAGTGTGAGAATATGGCATCACTTACATTCCAACTGTGATAACGTAAGTTATCTTCATTCCACATGTTAGGTATCCATCCTTCCTCTAAAGCTTAATAGAACACACAAGGAATGGTGTGTATTTGCTGAGTGATCACCCCTCTTAAGTTGGTTGAGATGTCTGGTTTAAGAACTTCGCAATAATCTTTTAACTCTTTCAGGATTATCTGGGAGCTTGCATCGTCCTCACCGCATCTATTGCCTCTATTAGTGGATCTTCCAATTCTGGATTGGTGGGTTTGGGGCTTCTGTATGCACTTACAGTAAGTATGGCTGAAAATTGCTTTGATGAATGTATTTGTTATGTACTGCACACATATATTAATAAAAATATTTAAAAAGAAAAAAAGAGAATTCCTCTCTTTCTATACAGTGTTGAAGAAATGCACTATCAACTCTTATGGGTACTAGAAAAGTTTGAATGCATAATAAGACAACATCTTGAGAATAGTAGATTCAGTCCCAAATCTCACATTTTAGGATAGTTTGGATTCATTTCTGACCTTGCAAGACAATTCTTAAAAACTTCCCAAATCCCACGGTTTAAAGCTGTCCCTGAGATCTCCAACCTGAGTCCTTCACAGTCCACTTATGGACAATAAAATAAGTGTGAATATCAATGAGTCCAAATAGAAGTACATATAACTATCCCAGAAATATCAGAGGAAAGTTCACAAAACCTTGGAGGAAGAATGGACGCCTCGGCCAATACAGCTCCTAACCTTCTCCCTGGTCTCCCAACAATCTGAAGCACCTGTGGGTTGTGGCACATGATGAATGCTAACTGTCCTATCCTCAGATATACAGAGATTAAGGAAATTGCTTCCTCTTATTTTAGACATGCTCCTTTTCTGTCCCCTCACACAGATAACCAACTATTTGAATTGGGTTGTGAGGAACTTGGCTGACCTGGAGGTCCAGATGGGCGCAGTGAAGAAGGTGAACAGTTTCTTGACCATGGAGTCTGAGAACTATGAAGGCACCATAGGTATTGTTATGAATATTCTTTTGTTTCACTTAGATATTTATTTTAAACAAATATTACTTGCATGTCAGGCACAATGTTGCTTTCAATTTTGTTTTCCACTTTAACATCCCTCTTATCCTTATTTTGCTTGATTATCAACACCCGAAAACATATGGCTATTGTAGGCCTGAAAAGTCTTGGACACAAGACTAGAGTCCAAGTAGACATTATTTGATAATATTTAAAGAGAGTTATAAAAGTATGCGGGCTTTATTATATTAATTGCCCACCTGAACTGTGCACTATTGTATTTTCTTTATCAAGACCTATTAACTTAGATTTCAAGAAACTTGGTTGTGACAGCCAAGAGTGGTGGCACATGCCAGTCATACCAGCCCGCTGGGAAGCGGAAGCAGGAAGATCATGTTAAAACCACGCTAGGCAACTTAGCAAGACCGTGTCTCAGAATAAAAAGAGAGCTTAGGATGTAGCGTGTGTGAAGGCCCAGGAGTCAATCCCCAATACTGCAAAAACAAAAACAAAAACAATACTTGGATTTTAAAATGTGAAACAAGATTCTCAATTCTACTTGAGTAAATCTGGCAGGACGTTCATTACTGAAGATAGAATAATCTTTATTAAATGCAAATCTCAAACTGAAAATGAATATCTTTGCCTAAATCCTACAACAGCTTTCTAGCTCCTCAAGGACAAAGTCCAAATAAAGTAGCTAAGACCAAGAGACCCTTCACTAGTGAACCCTTGCCCACCTACCTGGTCTCGATTTTCACCATCCACCTCCCCAACTCTTACTTTGACCACATGAAGATGCTATACCTTCTTTTCATCTTTGTTTTTCTCTTTGATGTATTTGAAACACATTTTCCCAGCTCTCATCCTTTGAGATTCATTTGAGTCACCACCTCTTTTGGGGACCCTCCTGGAACCCACAGGTTCTCAGGGCATCTTGGGCCGACCTCCACCCTGTGATGCTGTGGATGCTGACTCACTTGTACCTTCCCCAGGACACAGAAGGCACCTTGAGCCATGCCGTTGACCTCCATATCCCCAGCACACTGCACATTTTAAGCACTCAATGTTTGCTAATCAACTGACTGAACAAATAAATCAAATCACAAATGAACTATCTGTGCTCACCTTGAATAGAATTGAATGTGGACTACCAGAAGGACATGGTACTGGTTAATGCTGCAAAAACAAACACAGGAAAAAATGTTAAGTTCTTAATCAAGATGTGCTTACTTGGTGACTTAATCAAACAAACCACTTCCACAGAGATTGATTCAATATTACTTGATGTTTAGGGAAAATTTTACATATTAAAGTCATTATAAATTTATATATATTTATATCTATATAATTATATTATTGTTATAAATTTATATTTATATATTTCTTTCTACATATATCTCTCTACCTATTATCTATCTACCTGTCTATCTATCTGTCTATCTATCACCTATTATCTGTCTGCTTCTCAACTCCATCCCTCAGATCCTTCTCAGGTTCCAGAACATTGGCCACAGGAAGGAGAGATCAAGATTCATGATCTTTGTGTCCGATATGAGAACAATCTGAAGCCTGTTCTTAAACACGTCAAGGCTTACATAAAACCTGGGCAAAAGGTATGGCTTTACCACTCTTTGATTTGTTTTGTACATGAAAGCTCCACTGGAGCCTCACTGTCACCACCTAAAATCTTCGAACATCCAAGCCAAGTATATTCTCCTCACTAGGCTCACATAATATTCCCTACGCGACATAGTGAACAGTATCTGCATAAAAAAGAAAAGAGAGAGACATAATTATAGTACAGTACATGTTCTCTAATCATATTACCATTTATTAACCTCCCGTGCAAATCAGAAAAGTCAGTAACGGGTGTGTAGTTTAAAATTTCTGGCTTCAGGCTCATGACCGTGTCAGGCATTTCCTTGGGAACCTTTGCCTCCATTGTAGCTGTTGCCCCAGAGTGACTTTTTTTAGTTACTGTAAAAAGAAAAAGTGTGGATTAAAAAGTGAACCCCTTCTACTTTTTGTTCTAAATCCATCATAACTAAGATAAAATGGGATAGATGTTTGTCAGTCCAATAATTTACCAAATGCCAAAATCAAGCAATGAAGGAAAAACAACACAGTCAAACAGAATAGGATTCATTGATGATTTGGCTAAGATTTCATATTTTACTTTTAATGATGATAATTCATAAGATCTAAGCAGAACATGAAGTCCTAGTATAATCATTTAAATAGAATTTTGCTTTTTTCGTGATAGCTTGTCTAAGTTAAAAATGTTCTTGACCACTTTCTGTCCTTTTGCTGAGTCCTCTTCTCTCTGAGTGACAGTTGGTTTCTTAGGTGGGCATATGTGGACGCACTGGCAGTGGGAAGTCATCCTTATCTCTGGCTTTCTTCAGAATGGTCGATATATTTGATGGTGAGTTGTTAGCTAAATTTTCTAATTGGCTGCGTAGTGCTTTCCTTTCACAAATGTAATTAAAAACTCAACTTGCCTAATTCTGCAAAAATAAAAATCAAATATTTAGAAGGACTCTGTGTGCTGCACATGGCTCAAGGCAGGTATTACAAATAAACAGCCTAGAAATAAAGGACTTAGAACTGGGAACGGAAAGTAACTCTAGACTCAGGTCAGGAGATTTCTGCTAAAGAGTTCTAATAAACTGGTTTAAAGAACGAGGTCATCTGCTCTGAAGAGCAGTAGATGTAAGTGGCTTCTCGAGAGGAGGGAAGAAGGGAATGTTGGCTTGCTTCCCTCAGACTAAAAATATACCTTTTTCTATCAAAGGAAGAAATTTTGAGAAAATAACTAATACGTATTTTAAATGTTGGTCCGTGACGCTTACCATCATGTCCTTAATAACATGATTTAATGACACTGAATGCTTTGTGAGGAAGCAACATTTTCTGTTAAGTCTTAAGCACATGAACTGTGTGAAAAAATATTTATTCACCAGGGGTAGTGTTCATGGTCATAATCCCAGCACGCTGGGAGGTTAAGGCAAAAAGATAAACAAGTTGAAGCCCAGCTGGGCAACTTAGTGATTTAGTGAAATTCTGTTTCAAAACTTTAAAAGGAGGAGGGGCTAGGACATAGCTTGATGTGAAAGCCATGGGTTCAATTCCCATTAACACATACACAAATTATTAAGAATTCATTTACTCATAGTAAGAGCATAAAAATAATTTAATCTTTATTTTAGAAAAATATGTCACATTATTTAGTCTATTAACTGGCCTATAAATAGACCAGTACATAAGTAGTATTAAGTGGAAGGGATCCAGCAATGAACTTGACCTCTGGCTCAATGAAGGGCTTACTATTATTACCTATAATGATGATTATAATATTTTGCATGTTATTGTACTTAATGGTTTACATTATTAATTTAATCTATATGACAGTTTTGTGAGATAAAAAGGTCAGCTTATGAACAATGAAATTCAATTATAGTAATTTGGAGGAAGGTTTAAATTCAAAAATAGGAAAAGCATCCATCACTGGCTTAGCAGTCTGCTCTTTCCATGGCTGGTTATAATACACAGATACTTTGAGGACTTTCAGTGAGATTTGTGTCATAAGGCAATTACATGACCCAGAGACAACTGACTAGCCCTTTTCATCAAGAACTGTACCGATGACTGACTATAATAGGTTACCTGATCCTCATGTGTCTAGAAACAGAATTTGGGGCCCAATGGCAACAATCACAGACTTTTTTCCTTTTTAGTAGCATTAGGCTATTAATATTTTAATAGATAATATATTATCCCCACAGGACACAGTTTAGGCTAATCATCCTCGCTTGTTTTTAAATGTCAACCTATCAGGTAAGTAGGCTGCAGTTGCTATTGTGAGCCTGACATACACATTTTGCAGGGCAATCCCTCTGCATAAAAGGAGATGAAAAAAGTAATCTGTCAAGTTGAGGAAAGAGCATCAAGATTGCATTATTCTCTAAGTCTACACACAGTAGGGGGGAAATTTAGTAAAATTTGATGTCTATATCATAGAATTTGCCTTCCTATTTTTGATGCATTGTATTATTCAGTCAATAGAGAAGTGAATGACACAAAAAGCTTCATCTTCAAGATGCTTACATTCTATTGGAGGACAGACAATTAAAAACATAAGGAAATATATAAAGAAAGTAAGATTCTGATAAATCCCATGATGGAAAATAAAGCAAGGAAAGAGGATAAAGAAATAGCAGGAAAGGACCTCAAAAGAGATAAAAAAGTACTTTTATTTGTATGCCCACACAAACTGAATGAACTGAAAATTCCTTTATGAGAAATACATAAGAAATACAAAGTTACTAGCAAAAGGGTGTACTTTAAAAGAAACAAATAACAATGTTTTAAATATTTAAATTGAAAGCTTTATATCCTGTATTTCAACTCAGAAGTAGAAAAGGGTTTTTGTTTTGTTTTGTTTCATGGTGCTGGAGATCAAACCCAGAGCCTTAAGAAAAAAAAAATTTAAAGGGTAAACAAATTAAAATTTCACTTGTGACTTAACTCTATTTCTGTAATTTTCATTTTTCCTTAACAGGAAAGATTGTCATTGATGGAATAGACATTTCTAAACTACCACTGCACACACTCCGTTCTAGATTGTCAATCATTCTACAGGATCCAATTCTGTTCAGTGGTTCTATTAGGTAGGTGACATAGTCAGCATCACTGTGTCCCTCAGGATTTATCCTCTGGCTCATAGGAATACTTTGCTCAGAGAATTATTAACCAGGTAGGTGTGAAATACAGTATCAAGATGATAAAAGTAAATGCTGTCCAACAATTTGGATGAGAAATTGTAGAGATGGTAAATTAACCTACTGAAGCCAATCTCTTATATTCCCAAGAGCTCTTCTCTTTCAGTTTTCCAAATTAAAATCCACTTTGAACTCTGTACTTGGGAGCAGTGATTCTTGATAGACATTTCTGAGAAGGTCCTCCTACAGATATCCTGCCTAACTCTTGTGTCTGGCCTGTCCTCAGCAGATATTCTGAGCTTAGTTACTCTCCTTACCTATTTCCCCATTCCTTAACATTTTACTTTCAGCCCCATTTGCTTTGATGAAGCTGTTACAATCTCTATGCATGATTCCTAATTATCCACAAAAAGGAAATGGAGCTATCTACTATTTGCTGGTGCTTTAAATATATTGTCTGATTGAATTCTCAAAACATTGTTCCGGGGGTCGGGGATTTAGCTCAGTAGCACCACACCTGCCTTGCAAGCACAAGGTCCTGAGTTTGATCCCTGGTACCAAAAACAAAAAACAACAACATTGTTCTGGGAAACATACTATTGTTATTTCCATTTTACAAATGAGTGTTTTCAAGGAAGTTGTAAATTGCCCAGTTTCACATAACTATGAAGTGGTAGCACTGCAATTCCAGCCAGTTGATCTGATTCCAAAGTCTGCCTTAATTGCTCCACCAAATCATGCTTCTCATTTCATCCATCTTTTTCTCTCTTGCTCCTCTCCTCCATCCGTGTAATTGCAAAGAACTGTTTGCCACCTCCATTTAATAATTACTCTTTATCTTGAGAAAATGTATGTAAGATTGCTCAACATTACCTGTAAAATGACTTTAATTACAAGTTCTGGATGGGTCAAGTTATTTAGCAATCTTCTAGGCAATTTCTATCATCCCGTATATTTATTATGAATAGTACTATAGTGGTTGGTGTAGCACAGTTTATCTAAAATAACATAATACGTTCCCATACTGACTTATGTATTTAGCATCAGTTCTGCTGGAATATTTTGCTGGACACTATTCAGGTTATGCTGAGCACAGTATGGAGTGGAGGGATCCAGTTAACAAAACTGATATTTTATCATGTATACAAATTTACCTATGGTATCATCAAAAAAGCTTTTGGGTGACATTAAGGTCCTTCATTCACTCATGAAACATGAATTCAATGCTTGCTCTGTTATAGGTGCTGAATACAAAGCAGTAACCGAAATGAACAGAACCTAACATTTTAAAAAAAGAAGACCAATAAGCAAATATACATAAAAGCTCTCTATTTTTATTTCGTCGATTGTATTATTTTAATTTACAAAATAACTGATTTTTTCCCTGCAGATTTAATTTAGATCCAGAGTGCAAATGCACAGATGACAGACTCTGGGAAGCTCTAGAAATTGCCCAGCTGAAGAATATGGTCAAATCTCTAACTGGAGGTCTAGGTATTGTTGCTAAATAACACATTTATTTTGTTCATATGTAATTAATTCTACATATCTGTATGTATATCTTATGTTAGAATCACATAATTCTAGTGTTAGAAATACTCTATATTTATTTATTTTTAGTGCTAAGGATCAAACCCAAGGCCATATGCATACTAGGAACATGCTCTGCCACTGAGCTCTAAACTCTGGTCCAATGTTAGATCTTCTTATGATTAGTCTACAGAAGGTCATTAGGACATTGTAAAATCTTGTGACTTTTCCCTGGTACATAAGACAGTGGGCCTAATGATAAATTCCACTGCATGTGAGCACTCCAGAATATTCCACTTAATACATTTATCTCTTCATTCTTCTCACCGCTGTGGGCACAGGTCAGTTGAATCACTTGCTTCTTGTGGTCATGTCTATTCAGGTCACCTACAGTATCACTTAGCCTCAGAAAATAGGTAACACATTTTAGAGGCTGTTAGATTTCAAATTCCTGGCATGATTTAAGAGAAGGTCATTTCTCCACGTTGGTAGCCACTTTCTTCTTTTACTTACACAATATAATTTTCATCTTGTTTGAAGACATTATGTTGTATTGTTATTGTGTTGCAACATCAGTTTTGGCCATTTCTGTAAAGAATGAAACATATATTTAAACAATTACTGAAAAATTCAATCCAATTTCCGACTAATAAATGATGATGAAATGAAAGAATAGCATGTTAGTAAGACAAGAGTTCATATCTTCTTTAATTCATAAAAATGAACATCTACAGTCTTTGACTTTTGCTTCCTTAAAATCTGAACTCATTTAAGAAAACAGTAAAAATACCAGTAGCTTTTTTATATTCTAATTTGGGAGGTAAGTACCGGGATCGAACTCAGGACCTTGTGTTTGTGAGGCAGGCATGATGCTACTGAGCTAAATCCCCAGCCCCTATAGTCTAATTTTAATACACAATATCTAGTTGCCAAATTGATAGCGTCGTTTTGGCATCTCATTTTATAAAAAAACTCAACATACAAAACAAAACCATGTGTATTTGTTATTTTATTTGGAAAGGAGGGCCTACTCAAAAACAAGAGCTTTTATGATTTTAATTAAGTTCCAAGTAGAAGCAAACCACAAGCAAAAATCAAGACAGCCTGTCTTTAAGGGAAGTTTTATTGACCTTGCTAGTGTCAGTTGTGGGAGTAATTCCAGAACTCTGGATGAACTTTCCCGTAGTAATTTTTGTTATTTCCTGTGGAGAGCCCAGAAAGTCTATGTGAGACATTGATTCATGCTTACAGACCTTCTCTCTTGGCATTTAGAGACCCACCCCCACCACCATCATGAACAGCTGGAAAGATAAACAGTTATAGTACTCTTCCTTAACAAGAGGGCCCGTTCCAAACTATGGCCCTAGAGTTTGGCGCTTATGACATACATAGCTTAAACAATAAGGGATTGTCTTTACACTATGTAACTCACCAAACATTGTGTTCGCCATCTTAATAATGGTGACACCAATTTTCTTAACAAAGGTCTGGTTCAGGCCAAATCTGGTGAAGAACATTCAGCATCCTCCTTAGTTATTACATAAATTAAAATTGGGAAAAATAAATGCGCAGCTTCCAAGCATGAAAAGTTATAAAAATTTGATGCAGTGAGAGCCTAATTAATAGAAATTTCCCCCCAGGATTTGACTGAAAAGTATTTGAGTTCTAATTAAGGAAATTTTTGGAAACAGAATTCATCTGAAATTCACAATAGCAGTTTATATAGAGATTGAAATAAAAAATAAAACGTTAAGCATAATGAGGATATATCATTCATTTATCCATATCACAGTGTTGTGTTTAGTGTCCATGCGAGATACCATAGGATGAGAAATACATAGATAAACAAAAGCAAACCCAATCCTTGTCCACTGGTTCTTACAGTCTAGTGGGAGAGTGTAATGGAAAGAACTGGAATTAGAACAGGGAACATTTCTTATCAAGCTCTATTGTGTACTTGCTAAGTGTGACCTTGGAGAAGCCCCTTACGGAATTACAATAATTAATTTAAAAATTCCCAAGGTCTTCCAGTTTTCAAAATGTTTAACAATATTTTATGTCCTGTTATTAAGAGGTAATTCATCTAGCATCATCTTCATTTTCCCAGAGTTCAGTTCCACTTTGTCTTTCTATGGGAAATACTTGCTCTAGTGCAAAATGATCTCCTACATGCTGCTCTGCTATTGTATTTTTCAAAACTTTGCCCAAGGAGAATGTCAATCCCCTTTCTCTAGTGAAATCATTGCTTCTTTTCTGACTTAGATGCAGTTGTCACAGAAGGTGGGGAGAATTTTAGTGTTGGCCAGAGACAGCTGTTTTGCCTTGCCAGGGCCTTCGTGCGCAAGAGCAGTATTCTCATTATGGACGAAGCCACAGCTTCCATTGACATGGCCACGGTGAGTGCAGATCTTGAAACGTGCATGAAAATGACATTTGATATCATTCCTTATTGGGTTCTGAATCCTCAGTACCATTCTTTTGAATGATTTCCCAATCATCTCCCTGATCAGCCGATGATCACACTAAGAAATCCAGTAAGCAACACACCACATGTGCATTGAAGGAGTTTCTGTCACCAATAAACAGAAAATAAATTCTGCTTCACTCTTTTCCTTTTCTTAACATTTTTACTGTAACATAATTTTAGACTTCCAGAAATGTTGTATGGAAAGGACAAATCATTTTCAGATACCCTTTAGTCAGGTTCCCTATACATTTTGTTTTGAAATTTATTGATTGATTTTTTGATGCACACAATAATGTATATGTATATGTAATAATGTATAATGTATATGTATTGATCTATGTATATGTTACAGAAGAATTGTCAAACTAATTAGCATATCCATATCATTAGAAGTTTATCTGTTTTTATACTGAGAATGTTAAAAATCTATCTCAGCAACTTTGAAGTATATAATTTTGAAATATATATATATATATATATATTATTGACTGTGGCCGCCATCCAATGTAATAGATTACCACAACTTATTGCTGTTATCAAAAAGACAAGAGACAGCAGTTGTTGGTGAGGATGTGGAGAAAGAGGAACCCTTGCACACTGTTGGTTGGAAAAAGTATAGCGATTCCTTAAAACCCTAAAAATAGATCCACCATATGATCAATCTTACAATCCCACTGTTGTGCATATATCCAAAGGAATTGAGATCAGTGTGTTGAAGAGACATCTTCACTCTCATGTTCATTTTAGCCTTATTCACAATAGCCAAGATATGAACACAAGTTAACTTGCCCTCAACAGATGACTGGATTAAAAATGTTTTATATATATATATATAATATATTATATATAACATGTTATATATAATGTTATATATTGTATTATATATTTTTATACAGGGAGAGAGATAATGGAATACTATACAGACTTTCAAAAGAAGCAATACCTGTCATTTGTGACAATGTGTGGTCATTATGTTAATAAGCCAGTCACAAAAAAGATAAATACTGTAAGATTTTACTTATTTGTTCTATGTATTTGTAGAAAGGCTGTTACCAGAGGCTGGGGGAGAAAAACAGATAGAGAAATGGAGAATGTTAATCAAAGAGTGTAAATTTCTTAGATTCAAGATACAGGTCTTAGTGATCTATTGTACTGCACACTGCCATCACTTTTTGATAAGTTTTCAAAACAGTATAATTCCAAGGCTCAGTTGATAAAAGTACTACATTGTATTCAATAATCATGCCATAGAAGTTCTAAAGTATTTAAATCTTTAATAAATTATTGATAAGCAAGACCAATCATTTTCTAAAGGACTTTGAAGAGGGATTTGCTAGGATTAATGACAGCTATAGTTGACAATGGTCTTCTGCATGTGTTCGTGGCAAAAAGCCAGAGATGTTGCTTTTTGAAAGAAATTATTTTAAAGAGTCAACCAAAAAGAGATGTCTGGAAGCTTGTGATTGGTTAGGGATAATGTATTAAACCACAAACTATGTATGAGCAAGCCTTGACTTTTTTTAAGTTACCTTGATATCAAAAGTTTGACATCAGTTTGATCCCTGGTACCAAAAAAAAAAAAGTTGACATCAGAAAATTCAGACAAATTTTTTTTTAAATACACAGTTTCACGTTATTTTCTTGCTGCATATTTTACACATGGTAAAACTACCCGAAGAAGTGAAATAGTTTCAAGATTGTTAAGAGCCAATTATAAACCAGGCTTGCTGGCACCCACCTATAATCCCAGCACTCTGGGAGGCTAAGGCAGGAGGATCAGAATTTCAAGCTCAGCCTAGGCAACTAGTAACTCAGGGACCAGAAAAGATAAATAAAGAGCTGGAGTGTAGCTCGGTGTGAAAGCCCCAGGTTCAATCTCCAGTAGGACACACATACAAAAAGCCAGTTACCTATGGAGATGCTAATTTCACATAATTTTTTCTATGGAGTGAGGTTAATCATTGCAACTATTCAAAATTACATAATCTCAAAGTGAATGTAATTGAAAGCAATAAAGTAATGTCCCATCAAGTCTTTTTACTGAGTATAAATACATCAAAATGACCAAGGTTAGTCAATACTGAGGATTATTATAAGGATGATACTGCCTCATCACACAGGAGAAAGAGAAAGGGAGAAAATATGAATTCAGCAGTAAGCCACTTGGTTGGAAGAAAGAACTCCTCTGCATTAAAATTTAGGTAATCAAAATTTCCTCTAGCAAAGTAGTAAAAGTTTACCCAGAACATTTTTCAAAATACGATAATAGCAGTTTGTTTTGGGGATAAAAATAATTCCTCCCTAGAAGGTGGTCAAAAATCCACCCTTTGGCATGGATTTCAGCTTTCCCTTTTCTGAATCAAAGGTCAATACCATTTTAGGGCTTGGTTTATTTTGAATATACGTGCTGCTTATGGTATAACACAAATGAAAATTTTGATACTCTTGTGGTTGGATTTTCTTCTTTGGATTTCTGGTCAGCAAATCCATCAGTCACTCCGGTTTGATCACTGACTTTTATTTACACGTTGAGGATACTTCCAGAATCCACTGTAAACTGCTTAGGGCATTGCTATCTCTCAACGCCCACTGGTGACTATGGTGACAGTGCTCACAAAGGGCAGGGTATGGTGGGATAATGTTCTCGGAGACAGCTATTGTGCCCAGAGAAAACAGTCCCAAGAAGATTTACACTTTATTTTTATTTTTTGGCAGGAAAACATCTTGCAGAAAGTGGTAATGACAGCCTTTGCAGATCGCACCGTTGTGACCATAGCTGTGAGTATGGGACATGGGGTTGACTGGCTCCTCCTGCGTTTTTGTACTAGGATTCTACGATCTTTAAATTTTAGCGATTAAAATGTACTTATTTGAGTTGTGTTTTTCCATCATAATCTTTCTGCATCTGTACAAAAATAGCGAAAGGGGCTGAGGATTTAGCTCAGTGGTTACAGTGCCTGCCTCGCAAGCACAAGGTCCCGAGTTCCATCCCCGGTACCAAAAAATAAAAAATAAATAGCGAAAAAAATACAGTTAGACTTCAAAAGTATTGTTCTTTTCCAAACTCTCTGCTCTACGTAATGCCCCTAAACTGCAATGACAGCACCTCCTCAATCTAAGGATTCCAGCAGGCCATGTACTAATTCTCTTAATTAATTTTCTTTTCCATAGTCTGATGATCTGATGAGGAATTTTGGAAGCAAAATTCCTAAACGTCATTGCCAATTGTGCTAATATTGTTACTTGATTTCTATACATCTGTCTTCTTTTAAAAAGAAGAAAATGAGATAGCTCATAGCAGGGGCAGGTAATTTCTCTATTTTAGATAGTACCAAACAAATAGAAGAATTGCTTAAGTCTTTCTAATTCATGTTACGGCATATTTAAAATAGGTCATGGTATTCTGTCTCTTCCGCTTTACAGATGGGTGGGTTTTGCTACAGTTAGTCTTACCACTTAACAAAATCTATTTTTTAACGAGTCACTTGAACGTTTTTCCTCCTGCTGATCTTTCTCTTCTTTCCATTTTTCTCTCTAGCACCGTGTCTCCTCTATTACAGATGCAGATCTTGTTTTAGTCTTTTCTGAGGGTATTTTAGTGGAGTGTGATACGGGTCCAAACTTGCTCACCCACAAGAATGGCCTCTTTTCTACTTTGGTGATGACCCACAAGTAGACCATCAGATCTCCTCTGTGAAGTATCTGCTCTCTGGTAGTTATCTTAGTGGTGTCCTCTCAGTAAGGCAAGGCTAATGGTGTGATTAGGGTTGGAGGGAGGCTGGTGGAGGGAACTGACTGCAGCATATTATTATACTACTTAGCTTGAACAGGTGTTTCTGTTATGTGCAGTATTGAATAAGATGCATGCACATGTTTTCACACACAGGCAAGCAAGTATTTATGAAACTGGAGACCCAGATTCATCTCCATCCTAAGGCCCAGTTTTAATATTCCTTGAGCATATTTTGTAGTCATCCTTAAAACCATTCCATGACCCTCACCTGCTCTGAAGCATGCATTGTTCAATTTAAATGATCACTTAAATTTAACCTCTGAGAAGTGGAAGTTGTATATAGAATGCTTGCTATGCTTCTATTTTTGTGAATGACACATAGGAGAAAGAGCATGAATTCTAGCTTTTTCAGGATGCCAGGAAATGATGCCCTGTTCAACCCAGGTAAAGAAAAACTGACTTTTTCTCATTTTCCCAGTGAACTCTGGGGTTCCTCTTCCCTGGAGCAGAGTCATCTGATAACTCATTCACATGAAGGTGTAAATTATTTAAGAGATGTGACAATCTGGTAACTTGAAAAATAGTTCTCAAATACTTTCAAGAATTTTCACACTGGAGAAAGTAGAGAGACAGTTTGGGAACAAAAGAACTTCCAATGCCCCTACATGCATAGGGTTGGAGGGAAAGCTGACCTTTGCTTACTTAAAAGACTAGTTTTTCTTTACTCCGCATGAAGCATGTTGTTGTTATGTAGTTCCAGTGAGTATATATCTGGAAGATTATTTGAGCAGTTTATATTTTTAACCAAAAAATATATATATTCTTTTACCTGATTTCTGTTCCATATCCACTGAGTACTTTTCTGTAGACAAGTACCCTGCGTTCATTCTTCGAGACCACTAGTGTGAGGGTGGCCATGAGGATGCCTTGAATTCTCCCACACACAGAGAGGACCAACACCTCATAACAGGCTCATAAAAAAGAAAGAGACCAGCTCACTTGTGCAGCCTCATGTGGAAGGGTCCTCAGCTCTGTTAGGGTTATTTTTCCTCTCTGCCTGAAAGTTTCTGTTACTTTGGTTAACTGCCATTAAGAATTATGTAGTATCTTAAAAAGATAACGTTTTCCAGCTTCTACAAAGAAACCCAAACACCCCAAATAGCCCATGGTATTTATTTATGAAAATGATTTATAGTCTTTACCCTTGATTAGATTAACTTCTCTGGAGCATTTTGAAAATTTCATCAACACTCTTCCTATTGACACCACACTTTGTCAACAAGTAATAATTTGGATTTAATGGAATAAACAGCAGCTATATTAATTTCTGCTGGCTAGCAATATTTCAATGTTTTTAATTTTTTAGTAAACATTATTTTAGAATATCAAGACAATATTTAGGAGACTGTTGTATGAATTTGGAAGCCAAATTCTTTTTAAAACATCTTTGATGTGGTTTTTGAAGAAATAATATTTTTCTAGAGTAAAAATGCACAGCAGATAACAAACAGTTAATTAAGATTATGGGTTTTTTTTGACTGCATAGGTGTGCAGATGGTTCTGGTTCAAAGATAAATAGATACTGTCCTCTAAGTTTTGATAATTCCTAAATGTATATTATTTAGTGAATGATAGCCTTGTCTATGGATGTTAAAAATATTGGGGTGTCTTAGTGAATTTTTCATGTTGCTGAGGCAAAATACTCAACACCCGAAGTTAAAGGAGAAAATGTTTATTTGGCTCACAGTTTATAGAGGTTTCAGTTCATAGTCAGCTGGCTTCAAGTTAGGGTGGCATGGCAGAGGAGCATCGCAGAGGAGAAACAGTCCAGGGCAGGCAGGCAAGAGAGAGCACGTTAGCCCTCTTCCTGTCCCTTATATTTTATGCAGGCTATCCACCCTAGGGCAGTGTAGCATTCACACCCTTAATCCTGGATAGGACTATGCCAAACCAATCAGTGGACTGGTTTAGTAATCACACACTCTTGATCCCAGCACCACACACTCTAGATCCAGCCACCTAAGAAAAGCACCCCTCACCCATGACTGCATGAGGCTTTGGGGGGACATCTAGATACAAGCCATAACATTGTGCATGTCCTAAGCTGGCATCATTATCACACTCTGTGTATGTATTTTTATGCCTCTGTGATTGTGAGTCACAACTATGCTTGCTTTTCTGACGGCATAAACATTGAAACTACCCGAGCTTTGTGGCCCAAGGTGTAATATAGACCTTTGTCCCTCGGGATGGCTTTAAACTGGACTTGGGATTGTTAGGAGAAGGGCACTTTGGAAGACTGTGCATCTGCTAAGTAGATGATCTTTCTAGATTTAGAACTCTGGCAGGAATTTCCATCAGCACACTCTCCAGGTCCAGCATGGTAGCCCCTAGCCACAGGTGGCTACTGAGCACTTGAAATGTAGATAGCATGATTTGAGAATTGCTATAAATGCAAAACACAGAATATATTTCAAAGACATAGAGCTAACAGAAGAATGTAAGAAATCTCATGAGTAATTTTACATTGGCTATGGGTCAAAATGAAAACATTTTAGGGCTGGGGATTTAGCTCAGTGTCACTGAGCCTGCCTGGCAAGCACAAAGTCCTCAGTTTGATCTCCGGTACCCCCTCCCCCAAAATGATAACATTTTGGATAAATTGGGTTAACATATATTATTAAAATAGCTTTCACCTGTTTATTTCTACTTTTAAAATGTAGCTCCTAGGAAATTTAAAACTACATGTGGCTCACATTATATGCTTATTGGACAGTGCTAACCTCAGCAACAGTAAAGCTTCACCCCCTGATCTTGCCCTTCTAAATTATAAAATTAATAAATAGTAGTAGCTGACATGTATTATTTGCTTGTATACACCAGATAAGGTGCTGAATTTTTTACACTGATTATCTTATTTGATGCTCACCATCATTCTCCAAGACAAGTGGTTTTATTACGGTCATTTTACAGACATGAACCTGGAGGCATACAAAGGTAGTAGGTTGCTTTAAAGAACAGGGAGTGACGCTAGTGTGAGTCCAGGCTAACTTCACAGCCTGCACTGTTCACCGTGAGACAGGTAAACATTCCTCAGTGGTACTAGGGACTTCCTGTGCAGCAGCTGGACAGCAGAGTGGAAATACCTCACACTCGGAAGTCAGCAAACCTGCTTTTGATTCTGATTCTATTTATCTATTCATTTTTCTTGATTTCTGTGAGCCCCTACGTTCTTCCCTATAAAATGGAGAGGGAATACCCATAGCTCGGAGATACTCAGGTGATTTACAACTATGTGTGTAGAATAGTTACTGTACGGCTCATGCTCAATAAGTGGCAGCTTTTATTAATTACTAGCACTAAATCCTCTCTCCAAGGCTTTAGTGGAAAGAGAGAATGAATGAGAGGTAGTGACCCCCAAAATTGAGAGAACACATGTCTCAAATCCTGGATAACTTATTCTAATACTGCATGTCCGAATGGACTTTCTCATATTGTCTTCCTAGAATTCATTGCTTTCCGGGGTTCTTCTAATTGTATTAGTTCATGGCATCAGTTGACTCACACAAGAAATTATTGTAAAATATAACACAGCTGGTCCACAGTGGCTCCTCATAGTATTTAATTGTTTGACAAACATTTATCAGCCTACTTCAGGTTCCAGGGAAATGATGGTGCTAATATATTAGCTACATTAAAGTTAATACAATCCAAATAAAATCCAGCCATATTAGCCAGTATTTTAAAATATATAAATAAATGATATTCTAACTAAGAAAAAAGGGGGGATGTGTTTTCTGCATCTTCTGGTATGTCAAGGTAAATAAGTGTCCTTGAATAATCTGTCAAAAGTATACATACTTCATTTTCTTGGATTGTGCCCAGAAATTTGTAGCAAATACACATATTCTTTTCATTCACAGCATCGAGTTCACACCATTCTGACTGCAGACCTGGTTATTGTGATGAAACGAGGAAATATTTTAGAGTATGACACTCCAGAAAGCCTGCTGGCCCAAGAAGATGGGGTCTTTGCTTCTTTCGTTCGCGCAGACATGTGAAGGAGTGTCTCAAAATGATACATGTATTTTAAATAATGCAGCCATAATCCACTTAATGGATCATCATCAGACCTTTATAGGGTGGCATCTTAAACTTCTGCAAATTTTTTTACAAGTTAACATTTCTTTTTCCTGCTTTAGTTTAACTGTTTTCCAAGGCAGAACTGCTCAATGTGTTCATTGCTGATGGTTTCCTAATGATCAAGTCACTTTACCTTTAAGAACAGCAGGTCATATTAAAACACGGGAGCTACTTTAAGTGGTAAATCAACAGCGTATGTTTTCATGTCTCTAAGTCTAGTAAGTACCTCTCACGTATGGAAGTTGCAGTAAGTCGTCAGTATTATTACACTCCTATTTGTAAGAATAAATTTTCCTTATTAGAGTCTCCAAATGTCATTGGAAGAGAATAAAAAAAGAACATGTTTTCTCATGAAACACTTAAATTCAATATCTACTTTATGAGAATGGTCTCTGTATTTGTTTAACAACAGTAATAATGACTTTCTTAGCTGTCTCTTTTTCTCCCCTCTAAATTGTTTCCTGTCACCGAGAAGTTAGCACATTTAGAAGTTCTACAATGCCAACGCCTTAACTAGAAAGATCATGAAAAGAGTTGGATATTTGAAAAATTATACTGCTTTCCATTTTTTTCTCTGTTCAGTAAGGAGAAAGTTCATAAGATATCAGGTATCATGTGCCTTTTCCCAATTGAAATAATTTTGAAAGAGTGATTAGCTTTGATCCTTCAGTGGTAGGCCAATTAACATTTCCATAGTTTAGTCCTCACTAGCTGTAGTTATGATTCTAAATTCTAAATGTCACATTATTTAGGACTCAAAAAAATAGGCAAATGGCCTTATTTAACTGTAGACAATCATGGCAGGTAACCATTTCTCCAAAGTACTAGACACTCCCTCTGAAATAGCTCTATGTAAAGGTGGAAATATCTCACACTTTGATACATATACATATAGTGCCTATTTGTAGGTGGAAGAGTTTACTTCCATTTATTCCTGCTCTAATATTAATATGTATATAAAAAGTACATAAAAATTGGTAGGATATTACTGTTGTATTTTTCTTAAATGTGAATTAATAAATTTTAAATTACCAAAGGTAAAAAAATTACCAAAGATTACCTTTTATTGTCATGCTAGCAACCATAGCTGCTACAAATCTATGCCTATTCAGTATTAATCTTATTGATTTTCATATGAAGATCTCTATGTTATAAGATCTTGAAGACTTATCATTGATGGGAAAAGAGAAATAATGTTCCCATTCCATAGTTCTTGTGTTCAGTTTATTGTGTTGTCTATTCACTCTCCAAATTTATTATACTTGTGTATCAGAATATATCAGTATGCCTTCACTTGAGTATAAAACACTAATGTTATAAAAATAAGTTCCACAAGGATGGACAAAAATGATCTATGTTATTTAGCCCTTGTTGTATATATAAATTACCACCCTTTGTTGCATATTAAAAAAACACTGGAAAAAATAATACTGTTTTTTCTGAAAGCAAAGCAGAATAGAATTGGTACCCATAAATTCAATCTTTAAAAATATTTTCTAAAATTTCAACTGGTCTAAAATATTGCTAGTGTGAAAATGTTTTGTAGGGCTGTGTATACATGATGCTTATTACCAAGTTATACCTTATTCTTTCAGAGAAATAGTTTTTTTAACTCATAGAAATAATCCCTTATTATATTTCCACATTGTACTGCTATATAACCAGTGTCAGTAGTGGCTAACCTAATTACATCAAATCAAAAATCATAGTTCCCCAACTGGCTATTGGACCCCTCATAACTTTTAATACTTAAGTTGAGTAAATATTTGATTATTTTCAAAATTAAATTGACGAATAAGTCAGGGATTGTGCCTTTAATCAATTAATCATTTATTTTATATGTATTATCCATTGACTATTGAAATGACTTGTCTTAAAATAACATTCTACTATATAGGTACATATCTATAAAACACTAGCTTAACCATATCAAATTTTACATTTACTCATTTTACATGTAACTAACCAAATGAATTTTAGAAATTTTAATTCATTAATATTTGTAAAAAGCAATAAATGCATCAAGCTTTATGTTAAAATCACAAGGTGACTATTGTCGTTGAGAAAGAAAATGTGTTTTTCTTAAAGTATTATGCACCTTCCAGTTTTGTATTGTTCCTCATGATCCATTTAGCTCTAGAAGACTCTTCTAAGTAGCTGGTACTTGAGATCTGGGACCATGTCTTGTTTGCTTTTATGCCTTTGGGACTGAGTACAAGTGCCTAGCCCACAGGTAGGCTCTAATAAATATAGTTGACTGATCCATTGATATACCATATACATATAACTATGGGTATTCACTTCACTTTTCTGTGTTGTATTTATTCTGCTATTTATTCTCTATGATATATAAAACATGCTTATTTTCTAAAATATATGAAAACTTATTGCCTTGCATTACATAATAAATTACTCCTTTTGTTAACTCGACTAAAGAGGGTGATTTTTCTTTCACTTATAGATCCATTGAGTATCAACCAGGGTTAATCAATAGATTAAATCAACACCACTTTCAAGACAATAACTGGCCCTACTTTAGTGATTTTGTTAACATATGCCAGTCATGCATTCCATTACTATTATAAATAGACTCCAGGAATGGTTCATTAAGCGGAACAGCTGTATTAATAATTTTTATATCCTTAATTAAATAGATTGACTATAGACTCTCCCCCCAAAGTTTATTGATCAAATTCCTATGGTCATCTTCCAATATATCTTTTATTGCTTCTTTTTTAACACATTCTTTGGAGCTCCGTAATTTATAGAACTGTGATAATTCCCTTATTGACCTATTACCCAACATTAACTGCAATCTTCTAATCTTAGTCTTTAGTATAAGAAACAATAGTATGTGGCATTTGACCTATAACTTATGTTTAATTTTTCCTTGAGTAACTGTATACCATTTACATTGCATTTGCTCAAGCATTAATAGGATTCACCTGGATCAAACTTGGCAAGGTAAGAGCTTCTAGCTGTATTCCTAGCAAGTGACTTCAAGTGAGATTTGTGATTAACCAACTTTGGGAATCATTGATCTACCCCAGTATTACATTCATTTTTCTTTATTATGCATAACATGCAGCCATGAAGCACTGAAAGTGATTTCCACATGCTTCCTACTTTGCTGACATACTTTATCCTGAATTGCTAAACTGCTTTAGTTCTGAATAAAGAAAATCTCATTTAATGGATTTAATCTTAGCTGAGGAGCTATCAATAGGAATTCAAAACACTGTTTTCTTCTGATTTGCCATTTAATCAGCAGTAAGGATGAAAGTATTTCCCAAAGTTGTGAAGTGTTTCTTTTTTTCACATCTGAGCTGGCTGTTGACTCATTTGCATATCACTCTGCTGACTTAAGAGTTCATACTTCCACATGTTAATAGCATGAAAATGTGACCTGTTAAGGGAAGATTTTAGCTATTGATGTTGCACAATGTGGAAGGAAGGGGACGTGATGATTATTCTCAGAGATGATTATTCGCCTTTCTGTTTTCACTTTTTTTTCTGCAGGTGTCATCATTGCTAATTATGAAGGATGATATATTTATTCTCCATGTCTAGTACATAGATTTAAATTATACCCTTTTCTATGAGTAATAGCAAATTATCATTAGTCATTTACACTATGATCACCAATGCCCTGTTTCTAAAATGCAGTAGATCAAGGGGGACATATCTGCACTAGAATCTACAAAAATCAGATTAAAAGGTGAGAATTGAGCCAGAATGGGGATCTGTCTGGGGAGAGTCCACTCTTTCAGTTCCACTTTTCTGTCTCTAGTTTCTCACTTTTCTTCTGGCCCATTCCTGAGTATACTTACTTCATTTTCATCTTGCACATCATTTATTTGTATGAGTCCCACCTGTTATGCCTTGTATCTAGATCCCCCCAAAGACTCCTGTGCTCATAGGTGGGGCATTTTGGAGGTGGCTGGATCTAGGATGTGTGAATGTGAATTAATGGTCTGATACTGCGATTAAGGGTGTGTGGATTAGCCTGCTGACTGTTTTAGCATAGATCTTCCTGTGGATGATGGAACTCTTACCTTCAGTGTGGGTGGCACCAATCAGTAGGTTTACAGCCTGCATGGAATATAAAGGGAAAGAGAGGAGGCAGGCTTGGTGCTTGCTGGCTTACTGCTGCTGCCTTCTGCCTGCCACACCATGAACTGTTTCTCTTCTGTGTTGTCCCTCTACCATGCCACACCCTGCCTTGGAGCCAGCCAGCTATGGAATGAAATCTCTACAGATGGTAAACCAAAATAAACCTTCCCTCCTTTAAACTTGTGAGTGTTGGGTATTTTATCCCAGCAATGAGACAAGTAACCAAGACACCATCTCTGAGGTTAAATCTTCTAGTTTCCATGCCTACAACGATCTCCCCTTCTCAGACTGTTTCAAAATACGAAGTACGTTATCTACCTTGTTCAGTGGATCTTCTTAAATGTGATATAAGACAACTTTCATTATATCACTTTGGGTCAAGGACTTACCTCTAACCTAAAAAGCTGTGGAAAGGTATATGCCAAATAGAACTAGTTTCTTATGTTGAAAAGAACCTAACGCAGGCTAGAAAGAGATATGAAAGCAAAAACCCTCAACCCAGAGCTTCACATAAAAAGTGTTGAGACTGGGTTGGCTACTGATTACTTTCCTTCAGACAAAGAAGATTGAAGGGGGAAAATGGAAAATCCTTCCCCTATCATGTAAGCACAAAAATGAATGGGTGCACTAGGAGCCTTGACCATTATGTTCCCCCAGCTTCACTCCAGAGAGAGGGAAAGTCCAAAGAAAGATGTGATTTTTCGTTCAGAACAAAATTTCTTGTCTCAAATAATTACCTCCTAATATTGACATTTTAAGCCCAAGTTTGATTTCTCTATGGAAACGGCTGCATTGCCCACAGCCTAAGAGACATTTCCTCACAGCCACCCATTCAAAACGAGCAGTAACACCCACCTGGAATTGCCCTAACCCGCCCATTTTAGGATCCTGGACACATACAACTTCAAATGCGTACTTCATTTCTCCTAAATGACCTTCAACTTCAAAGTGCCAAGCCATGGACTCATGCACTGCATCCCCTATATCCTTGGCAAACAGGAAAGAGAAGACAGTGAGAGGCAGTGATTAGGCATGATACATTTTCATCTGGAAATAGGAGCTTCTCTTCTTTGTTCCCACTTGACTGGACTTCTACTATGTATTCAGTGCAATTAAATATTATATTGGAAACACAAGGCATCTAGGCCTTTGGCCAAAAATGTAAGGAAAAAATTAGCAAGCCTGATATTTCATGGGAAATTCTTGGCTTAAATAATATTTTTAATAAAGCAGAGGTACCTGTGCCAACAAAGCATAGAGATGACAAAATGATTTATGATTTATGATTTAAATATCATATAATCTCTGAAATGTCTAATACCATCTTGTATCAAACAGCATGAGAGAAGTAAAATCACTGGGGAAGAGAACAACAAAATTAGTTCAGATATTAATAGAATACATGACATAAACCATCTCATTAAAAATTGCTGTAAAGATAATAGTAGCTAATAAATTTGGGGCACATATGATATGAATCTTTCAAGTATATTCTCATGTAATCTTTAAAAAATTCTGTAAAATACAACATATCATCCCCATTCTGTAACTGAGGTTCAAAGAAACTAATTTGCCCAAGGTTTGATGTATCTGAGATGTAAATTCAGGTCTTCTGACTTGTAAACGCACATTCTCGGCCATGTTTTACATTAAAGATTAAATTGATCAGTTGGTTAGCTTCTCGAGAATAAATGGCTTATCTGATATGTAATACATAACAAAAATAATTATATGAATCTATACAGAATATAACTGATAAGGGCACTGGACCAGGAATTAGAAAACGTGAGGTTTAGTCTTGGTTCTAGAACATACTGGATATATAGCCTAGGGTTTATCAAAATCCAAGTCACAGTTCCAATACTAGCAAAAAGGAAAATTAAAAGGCATGAAACAACCACCCTGTTGGCCTCATTGAGTCTTTATCAATATAATATGATGGCAAAAGGATTATGTGATCTAAGAATCTCATTTCAGTATGAAATATTAGTATTGAGAACTCACTCCATATAATACATTTTAGTGCATACTATGTTTTTATCACAAAATATTTTCCGTCTAAAAACAATGTTCCAGTTTTGCAATGGTGAGATCATATACTCGAGGAATTATATAAAAATGGTTCCAGAGTATTGATGATCCTAAAATTCTGGAAAGGGATAATGCAAAGTCAAGTATTGAGGTAACACTTAGATTTTCTAGGGAGGAAAAAAAACACAATAAAAAACAATAAAATTATCACTTTTATTTATAATACATAAAACAGTAATTGTATTAATATTAAATAATTTACTATTATTAAGTAATAATTATTGCATAAAACATATAGTAAATAATAATTAAAATAAGCTCAAGGTTATTAGCACAAGAAATAGAAATTATAACAGCCTCAGAGGTTTTAATGTATGCTTGCTAATAAAGATGTGAAAATGTGCTTGACATCTTTCTTCATTGGAAATGCAAATAGAAGCAACTAGCTACCCACCAGGATGGCTAAAACAACAAGGGTTGACAGTACTCAGTGCAAAGAGGGTAGAACTGTCATATACTGTGAAGGTGTGAGAGGCTCACCCAGCACAGGAAACTGGCCATTTTTATCAATGTTAAATAAGTGCCTACATCAGAACTCACAATTTCGTTCCTGGGCATGTGTCCAAGAAGTGAATTCATGCATCTTAGAAATGAAAAATGAATGTCCATGTCCACAAAGGAACTTGTACAGAAATGTTCACAGCAGCTTTGTTCATAGTAGTCAAATAAATAAAGCAGTCTGCATGCTCACACTAGGAAGATAGATAAATAAATGGTATTACACAGTGAAATACTATGATTGGCATATAAAACAGCCTGACCAGGTCTCACGGGCTGTACGTTGAGTGAATGAAAGCAGACATCGAAGAGTATAGGATGCAAAGCTCAACAACGAGGGGGAAAAACTGATGATGAAATAAGATATACTAGGGGCAGCCTGGCAAGGAGTGGTTAGTCTAGGAAGGAGAAGGAGGGAATTTTCTAGGCTGGTAGACATGTTTTTAATAAGATGACCTGCAGTCTGTGTGGTAGTTGCATAGTTTTATGTACAGCTTTCTAAGAAAGTAGTTTAAAAGAGCAAATTAATTTAAAACAACCAAATAGACAATAAATAAATAAACAAGCAAATAGAATTTCTAGAAAAATAGCATTAACACTATAATTGAAAATCCAACAGGCAAATTAAGCAGCAATTAGGGGGAGATGATGTTGTCTAATTCTTTTTATCAGAATCAGATCTAGAATACAACATAGAGCAAGCAGATACAAAATACGCAAGAAGAATC